AGCCATTTCGTTTCTCATCCAAGAACCTTCTTCAGTGCTGACCTGAATGGTGGAGAATGGGAAGATTTATATTCCTTGCAGTCATCTGTTTGTTAGCACTCTCTCTGAGAGTCGTTGAGGCCACTTGGAGGTTTCTCTGTGCCTTCAGGGTGACATGAATCCCATAAGGTGGATGGGATGCAAAAGGCCTAGTCAAAGCACACAATGGGGAGGGAGTTGGCAGCATGTCTCCCCTTTTATGATGCGTTGCCGGCCCTTGCCTTGAGGTCTGAACGGATGCTTTCCTAGATGCACCATTTGTAGGAGAAGGAGAGACAGAGTCAAAAGAGGAATCAGCCTGGAATCATTACATTCCTACAAAGGTCTTAAAGTCCCGCCCTTCTTGAATTCCGTTCGACTCTTTATCTAGCGCTAATTTAGTGTTGACCGTTAGTTGACTAGATTTCTCGTGTTATAGCCGTGAACCATAAAATCAGCTTAACGCATGGGCCCGATTCTTCACGCCTGACATTGTTAAGGATATTCTTGGCTCATAACCGATGTTATGGGTTATTGAGAAGAGTACCCCTTGAGTATGCACATGAAAGCGGCTGAGAGTGAATAACCACAGTTAATATACTGACACACTGAGTTGTGGTAGTCTTTTACTTTTAGAAGAAAGTAAAGCAAAGTCCAATAACAGTCCAAGTCATACACAGATAAGGCGATAGTTAAAATATCAATCCAGGGATATTCCAAGTACAAAGTCTTCTTACCAGTTGTTGTCATTACACAATAAAACAGTTCTTCTCGAGTTTCAAACAGGAACAAGTTCAGTATTAAAACATTCAATAAATAGTAGAAAGCAACAAGTAGCAATGATCAAACAGTGATCATGCAGAGATCAGGTAGAGAGTAACAGCAAATAAGCAGATAAAATGGTATAGTGTTCTCAAGCCATGATTCAGGCTTCCCCTTAAATACATTGGCTACAGAGCTTAGCCAATCAGGATACAGACTGATGCAATACAGTCTTAAAGCAATATAAAACCTTTTGACAAACATGTATTGATAGTTTATATATTGCCTGACCAACTAGTTAGACAATAGCCATTTCCTAACCGACATTTTTCATTGAACGGGGAACGAGTGAAGCTATGGGTCGACTCGAGCAAAGTTTTCGCGTCTTTCGTTTAGGTGGCTCTCCTTGCCTTCCCAGGCCGAACAAGCCGTGATGTCTTTATCAACCACCGCCTGTCCGTTGCTCCTGACCTTGAGAGACCGGCTCCTTCAGTTAGAGCAGCAGCTTTGTTATTCCTTGTTCAAAATCTTCTGGCAAATGCTCGCGGAGCAAGTCGACTTGTTCATCTACCAGGAGGTAAGTACCGTCGCTGGTGTCTCGCCGAGACGTCAGCCAAGAATATGAGTCCTAGTTTCAAACGTTGCTCGCTTTTTGATCCGTCCGCGATATATTTTAGGTCATTCTAGCCAATCACTTCAACGAAGGTGGAGCAGCCCAACTCCAGTTCGACATGACTCGGAATCTTTTCCCTCTGTTTTCCCATTACTGCAAACGGCCGGAGAATTATTTCAAACAGTGAGTATGGCACGTCTCAAATTCTCGTTTATTTCTGAGTTGCGCGGGGGAATCAAAGCTTCCTTCTTAGTTTTTTCGAGAGAGGGATTCTCAGTCATCCAGATCATGGTTGACCCAAAGGTGCTTTTTATTTTCCCCCTTCAAAAGGCAACTGGACTTTCTGGTTTTTCCTTGAAGACGTTTTGCTACTCATCCAGGAAGCTTCTTCAGCTCTGACAGGATGGTGCGGAATGGAAGAATTTATACTCCTTGCAAACGGCTGGTCATTTTCATCCTTTTAGAGAGTCGTTGAGACCACTTGGAGGTTTATCGGTGTCCTCGGGGTCTGACTGAACGGTGGACGATGGAAGGATTTAAATGCCGTCGCGTCGTTAAGATTGAGCAGCCCTTTCTCAACAGAGAGGGAGGAATAAGACACTACCTATCTCCTACACCAGTGATGGCTAACCTTTTTGCTGTCAGGTGCCAAAAGTGGGGGGAGTGCGGGGGGTTGCAGGCGTGCGTGCCCACACCCATAATTCAATGCTCCCCTGTGCTCCGCCCCTCGCGCATGTGCATGCAACACCTCACCCCCCCACACACACTCCCCTTTTGGCACACAACGGCAAAAAGGTTACCGGTGGGCCCGGTAGGCCTGTTTTTTTCCCTCCCCAGGTTCCAGAGGCTTTCTTGAAGCCTGGGGAGGGCGAAAACGGCCTTCCTCACCCCCCCCGGAGGCCTTCTGGAGGCCGGAAACGGCATGCGTGCCATAGGTTCGCCATCACGGTCCTACACAGTCCTTTCAGCAGTTCCCAGAAGGCTCCACACCCACTTACACTATTCAGGTGACCCTGAGGGCACAGATAAATCCCCAAGTACCCTCAATGACTCTCAGAGGGAGTGCTAACGACCAGATGACTGCAAGGAATATAAATCCATCCATCTTCCACCATGTTGTGGCTCCGTTGCCTGAGCCTGGGCTATCGACAGATGCAGACTCTGAGAGTGAGGGAGAGGAGTTGGCAAAGCCTCCCTCTCCAGGACCCTCCTCTCTGGCAATGCCTCCGGAGGACACCGAAGGCCAAAAGATAGGCTCAGAGCCAAGCACGTCCCCGCAGCCACAGGTGTACAGCGACGAAGTAGATAAGTGCTGGCTGGACCCTCGGCAGAGGCGCAGGGAGAAGCGTGCGCAGCAGAGGGGAAGGCATGCCAGAGATTAGCGGAGTCACTGGACCACACCCCACAGGGTATAAATGTGGGTGTGGTGGCCGGTTCAGTTTGTGACGAGCAAAAACTAGAAATAATCCATGATCTCTGCGTTTCTGGACTTCTGCCTGCCTTGTCGGACTGCATTTGGACTAATCCTTGTATTGTTGAAACTTTGCCTGCTTTATCGGAATGCTTGCAGTCTAATCTTTGTTTTGTGTGAGTAAAGTCTGAATTGGCAGCTAGCCACTGGGTTGCTGCCAGCTTTCTCTTCAAAGATTTTGTCGTGTGGCTTATTAACTCCGGGCCGTCTGTGGGGGGGGGTGTGTGGGACGGGGACAGAACACACCATTCATTCAGAACTGAAGAAGCTTCTTGGATGAAAAGCGAAATATCTTCAAGTGAAAAAAAGGCCAGTTGTCTTTTTTTTTGGGATGGGGTGTGGGGAAGCACCTTTGGGATTAACCTGTTGTTTTGCCTGCCTCTTTTGTTACAGTGTCATAAAATGGTCTAAGATGTCCCTCATTTCCCTTCCATTTACATACCTGTCCAAGACCCTGCAAGTGGCCATTGTTTATGGATCAGCTGAGACAAAAGTAACGTATAAGAGGATGAAGAGGCCAGATTTATGTGAATCCAACTCATTTAAGAGACTTGGGTACATTCTAAAAGGATTCCTTCAGTTCTAGCTCTGCTGAGATTAAGAGATTAGCAAAACTCCACCGCTCTTTACAGGTTCCCGCCTCTTGATGTAACAACCATTCATTTAGTGACCGTTCAGAGTTACGATGACACTGAAAAAAGTGACACGACTAATTTTCACGCTTACAGCTGTTAAACGTAAACGTCTAAACCAGGTTTAGAACTGATTTTTTTTTGTTTCCTTATGTAGCATCAAAGAGGCTTGTATTGTGCTGAACTTAAACATTGGTTCAGCCCTGCTGTTGAAGGACGTGCTACAATCAGCCACCGAAACCAGAAGCGGAATCGCCTTTCATTCGAATCAACCCACTGCCGTGGCGGCGTTAAATGAACTTGGCATTTATAAGTTAGCTCCAAAGGATGTTGAGATCCTCCTTAATTTGAGGACAAATTGGCCTAACACTGGCAGATAATCAAGATAAACAGAATGGAGAGACACTAATTACTATTACATTATTTAGAAATTGCCTCTCGTTCTCACGTGACGTTGAGTATATTGCCTTGGAAAGAAAAAAAAAACATGCGTTAAAAAAACACTGAAAATTAAACCTCTCTCTCTCTATATATCTATCACTGTTTCGGACTGGTGCGGTGGCCTAGAGGTGGAGCTCTCGCCTCACAATCAGGAGGCTGTGAGTTCAATCCTAGGTAGAGGCAGGTATTTCTCTCTCTGGGCACAATGAGAATGTATCTGCTGAACAAAACTCCGCATGGGTGACAGGAAGGGCATCCGGCCATTAAAACACTCAGCTCCATTTAGTTTCCCAGACTCCACCCCACAGGGGATTATGGGGTTGTTAAATGAAGATGATGATATATATCACTGTTTCAAAGAAACATTTGTAATTTGATGAAGTCTGGTTAGTATATTGACTGTTACGTTCAGTTGCAAATTAACTGTCAGTGACACCTGTCATTTTCTCAATTTACTGTGGCAATCAAGAGAAATTCTTTTCAATGGAGAAATTATTCTAACATACGCGCCATATTATAGAAATAGTCATCTTAAAGGAACACACGAGTATTTTTTTTAAAAAAATTGAGATAGATCAGTGTCACTTTATTGCCTCCTCTGAGGCTCAGATTAATCTCGCTTAGGCTGGATCAGGGTGTCTCCTGAACCTTTTGTGTTACCAAGATTGTGATATTACACAATAGTACACCGGGTTTAAAAAGAGCAAAACCGTTCTTACCTTTTTGAATGAAACCACCAGAGTGTCGACGAAAAGCACAAAACGGATCAACAACTTTGCATGCCATTCTGTGGCAAATTTTACTTATTTTGGCTCCTAATGCTAGCATACGTCTAATGCGGATAAGATAAAACACTTTGCAGAAATTTAAATTTCTTTGAATATACTCTATAATTCTAGATAATAAATATGATTGGACTCCTTTTGATTAGAAAATTGGGGTTCATGATCTTTGGGCAATGGATAATCTAATCATAACGTCATTTTCTTTCTGATGGAAAAAAATTCATTTTAAATTTAACCTATCATTCTCCCTGAAATAAAAGGACTGCTGAAAAGCTCAGTGTTTGGCTAATACTCCCATTATTTATTTAGCAAATTCAGTATGGATAACAGTTTTGAAGATTCTGAAATGCAGGAAATGCTTCAGTGATGATACAATTAGTACAAGTGAAGGCCATTACATATAAATGAAATTGCTAGCTTTTTTTCCAGAAATTAAAATATATATATATAAAGTATTCCAGGTGAAAATATTCAGGATTAGACTGTTTTCCACAGCTCAGTAAATTTTTTCGTCCTGTGGAGAAAAACAAAGATATATAACATATATTAAAAAATGCATTTTCCTCATTACAGCCAGCCTGGTTATGTGTTGAATAGTGTATAGTTGTAAGCACGCTAATATAACAATTTCTGTATGTGTATATTACACGTTTTTATGTTAAAAACATGTGGGAGTCAGCGCCAGCATCGAGGCAACCTGGGAGCTCCGAGGGGGAAGAGGGAATGGAGCGGGCAGAGAGAGAGAGAAAAAGAGGCGGAGCCTGGGCCATCCGTCAGCCTTCAGATGGAGAGTCAACAGCCCCCAGGTCTGGAGGTGGCTGATGAGGAAGAGGAGGAACTGCTGGGTCCAGTGCCTGACGTGCGGATGCGCAGAAGGCAGAGGAGAGGAGAGCAGTGGAAATCTATGGGCCGGTCCTTGGGACGGAAGAGCCACCGCTGCCAGCGAAGTCCCACCCTAGCTCTGGGGATAAAAGGCAGGGGACGGAGATGAACAGATGTGGCAGACAACTATTCATCTTCATGCCGGAAGGCCTTATTAGCCTGCGTTGAGAGAAATCTTTTGCCGGAGCTGCTGGCGCTCCTAATTAAAGGAATCTTTGAGTTAACTCAAGAGGGTTTGTCGTGTTTGGGGAGCTAGGGTCACAACATTAATACTAAAATTACATTGGATTATTTTTATTTGTGGATTTATTATGAAAGGAAGTTCTCGTTTCATAGCCATTTGTTTAGCGACTGTTCGAAGTTAAGACAGCGCTAAAAAAAAAATCACGGCTGGTTCTCGCACTTACAATCGTCACAGCATCCCGCGGTCTCGTGGTTCTGATTCAGGTGCCTAGCAACCCTCATTTATGACACTTGCAGTGTCTTGTGGTCGCACCATCACCATTGGCAACCTTCAAAGCCAGCTTCCAAGAAGCCAAATTTATTTTTTTTATTATTTTTATTAATCAAATTTCTATACCGCCCTACTCCCGAAGGACTCAGGGTGGTGAACAGCCAAGATAAAATACAGATAATACAAATATTAAAAATCGCTTAAAATTATTAAATATTTTGGCCGAAACACAGATTAAAACACCCAATTTATAAAATCACGAATTAAAAATTTAAAAGAGGAGAGTTAGGCCAGGCCAGCCTGCTGAAATAAAAAAGTTTTGAGAGCACGACGAATGGAGAAGCTGAGATCATCACAAGTTGTGGTCATGCGATGTCTTGCTTAACGACCATGGTCATTTGCTTAACAAGGGTTTAAAAACAATTATCGGGGAAAGACTAGCAATATTTCAGTAATTATCGTGTAGTTTGTTTGAAAAGGTAAGAGGGAATGCTGAACCCTGAATGGTGGAGACGAAGTCAGGTACAAAAAGATGGTTGGGAAAATTGAGGATAAATTGTTGGATGGATTTAGGGGATTACAGGGTTGTAAAAAGAAAAAAAAAGTGGCATATACTGTTATATGCCTGCAATTCCCCATAAAATGTAATATTCTGGTTTAACTTACACATTTTCTTTGAAGACCTTTGATGTAATTATATCATTTTCTTTATAAGGTACATCCTGGCTACTCAATCCCAGAGACTCAAGTGCTAAACATATAAGAGAGAAAATATATAGATTTCTGAATGCATTGCTGTAGTATACATTACACCTAGTATAACCCCCATGCATAATTGCCGTCTTACCTGATTTCCAGTTCTGCCTCTCTAACCCTAACCAGAGGAAATGGGCAGGGACCAGCTGCGCGTGCATTTAAATATTTTTGGGGAGGGCTTATTTTCAGGGGATGTCTTATTTTAGGGGAAACAGGGTAGCTACAAATATTTCTATAGACTCGTCCTGAGCTAACCCCAAACGGCCTTTTTTAAAAATATTGTTTGTGGTTCCTGGCACCAACTGCAGGAGATAAAATCCGTTACGAGTTTCAGAATGGAAGAGTAATGACTCGGTTGTCATCCTGCCTATGTATACATAGTCCTCAACTTACGACCACAATTGACATTAAGTGAGGCGTTTTGTTCGGTGCGTTTTGCCTCCCGTTCTACGACTTTTCTTGCCACCTTTGTTAAAGTGAATCCCTGAAGTTGTTAAATGAGTCAGCCGGTTGTTAAGTGAATCTGGATTTCCCCCTTGACTTTGCTTTGAAAAAACGGTCGTAAGTCACTTCTTTTCAGCGCCGTTGTAACTTTGAACGGTAACTCAATGAACTGTTGTAAGTCGAGGACTTCCTGTACTGCTTTTGCTCAATTTCTGCTTTCTCGCCCAGGAAGTGGTGAGAGCCCTAGGCAGTTTTATAGCACACCAGTGTAGCAATCTAAAATCTTCTAAAAAGGATATTTGTATTTTTCCAGCTAACTTTTCTTTGTTTATTGGAAAATGTGTCATACATTGCAATGCTGGATAAAGTATAAACTTACTAGCCAGGCTGCTCAGATATTTACAGACAAATCGGTTGGATTTTTGAATAGGAATTTAAAAAATCATTACATTTGTTAGAAAATGGAAGATACTGTTTTTGAGGTTTTTGGATTCACTGTATTCTATCATGAACGACATAAAAAGATGAAGATCATAAGATATGAAGAAACACCGACCTCCTTTGTACTGTATTACATTTATGTAGCCTTCGCCCCCGATATCTATCATATCGAACATTGCATCCAAGTTTGATTCGTCCATAAGGTTGGGATAATCATCGCTTGTCGCTTTGGCAATCTTTACTTTTTCCAATGTCTTTATCAAAAATTCTCGCGGTCTCTCTGAAAAGGAAAAAATATGGTCATGTTTTGTTGTCCAAAACCGTATCGTTCAAGGTATCTAAACTAAATGTTTTTCATTAAAATGATTTGACAGATTAACTGTTACGATTAAAGTGTTTCATGTTTTCCGGCTTAATCTTCTGACCACTCAGGCAGTTCGTATCTTCCTCTTCTTGGCCAAGAGAGGCACAGAATAGCAATCCGTGTCCTCGAATCTTTTAATAACTTGCCGAAATTCAGGAGAACTGCTACAAACTGCCAGAAGATCCATCACAAGACCCTCACTTGACACGCCCACACCTGAAGCCCTTATAAATAGAAAAAAACACCAACACTGACAATCCCTCAAATTCCACTGAAGACGTTACCTAGTTTGGTAATGAAATGTTCGGAAACCAACTCACAAAGCTCAGAGAACGAACCTCCATCCTCACTGCTACAAATCTTCCGGTTAGTCAGCTGAGCAAATGCATTGTGTGTGACTACTCTTCCCCCTGGACAGGTACAATAGCTTTTGACCCAGATACCATACCCATTCAACTGTAGTAGACGCAGGGGTGGGCTTCAAAAATTTTAGCAAGGGGTTCTCTACCACGGTGAGGAGGGGCATTTTTGCCCTCCCCAGGCTCCGGAGGCTTTCCTCGAGCCTCCGGGAGGGCGAAAACGGCCTCCCCAGGCTCCGGAGGCCCTCTTCCTAAACTTCCAGTAGGCCTGTTTTTCATCCTCCCCAAGCCTCCGCGTACACCCTGCACTTACCTGCATCCAAAATGGGCCGCGTGGGGACTCCTGGGAGGGGTAGGGTGGGAGGGGCCAGCCAGGAGTTGGGGGTTCTCTGAACTGCGCAGAATCTTAGCTAGAGGTACTCCCAAACCCGCAGAAGACCACCCCTGAGTAGACGTGTGTGTCATTGCCTCTTCCAGCCTATATCACAACCTCAAGCCCTGTGCACTAGGCAGGAAAACTGGCCAAGGGCCCCCCTTATTCTCACCTGACATGGGCCCCCTTTCCAAGGACGGTGCAGAGTGCCTCCTCCGGCATTGCTTAGCAATAGCAATGGGACTCAGTAACAGAGGATCGTGAGTACAGACTGTCCTCGGCTTACAACCACAACCGAGCCCAAAAATTATGTTGTTAAATGAGACACTTGTTCAGTGAGTTTTTCCCCATTTTACAACCTTTCTTTGTTATTAAGTGAATCTCTGCTAGTTGATAAATTAGTAACACAGTTGTTAAGTGAATCGGGCTTCCCCCTTGCCTTAGGAAGTCGCAAAAGGGGATCATGTGATCCTGGAACACCACAAGAGTCATAAATACAAACCGGTTGCCAAGCATCTGAATTTTAATCACACGGTCCTGGGGATGCTGCAAAAGTCGGAAGTGTGAAAAACGGTCATCAGTTACATTTTTCAGTGCCGTTGTAACTTTGAATGGTCACTAAGTAGATTGTTTTAAGTCGAGGACTACCTGTACATGACAGATGGGTGATCACCATTGTAACGTCTTGCTGGCTTCCCCATTGACTTTGCTTATGGTCACAAATCGAATCAAATAGAATATTCTTTATTGGCCAAGTGTGTTTGGACACATAAGGAATTTGTCTCCAGTGCAAAAGCACTGAGTGTACATACAAGGAACAAGTTCCATAAGTATATGTAGAACTACTTTAATTTTGTTCCAACAAGAGCTTTGCAAAATAGGTTGGACTGAGAACAGAGTGATTCGCTTAGCGACAAAACCCTGACTCGGGTTGTAAAGCCATGGCCTGTTTCACAGACTAATCAGCTGAGTGCACAACTCACCTATTAAGCCACAGCTTTCCAGCCACATAGGTGCAGTGACACAAGCCATAAAGCCATAGCCAAAGAAACTAGGATATGGTTTAACTCAGGGTTTCTCAACTTTTAAGATGGGTGGACTTCAACTCCCAGAATTCCCTAGCCGGCATGGATTCTGGGTTTTGTAGTCCACCCACCTTAAAAGCCGATAAGGTTGAAAAACACCTTTTAGCCTAATGCTGGAGCCTCCAAACTTGGGCCCTTGAAGACGTGTGGACTTCAACTCCCAGAATTCCCCAGCCGGCATGGATTCTGGGTTTTGTAGTCCACCCACCTTAAAAGCCAATAAGGTTGAAAAACACCTTTTAGCCTAATGTTGGAGCCTCCAAACTTGGGTCCTTGAAGACTTGTGGACTTCAACTCCCAGAATTCCCCAGCCGGCCTTGCTGGCTGGGGAATTCTGGGAGTTGAAGTCCACAAGTCTTCAACGGTCCAAGTTTGGAGGCTTCTGCCCTATTGTGTAAATTACTCACAGGTCATCTCTCGGGCAACGACTTCCACCATGGAAGCCATGCAGAAAACGGGTTTTTTTTAAAAAATATTAAAATTATTAAAAAATAAAACAATCCCAGCCCCCATTTTCTCTCTTTATACTCCCGTGCACGGTAAATCCGCTCGTCTTCCCGAGGCACGGAAACGCGCAGCCCCCGGGCAAATCCTCTCACCCGGCCGGTGGTAGAGCAGCAATGAGGTTAAACTATACAAAAGCTCCGGGATTTTGTGCTGGGCCAAGTATTCGCGGCCTTCCGTTTCTCGGTCCATCTCGCCGTTGCTAGGCGACGACCCGGGCCAGGACGCGCCGCGCAGAGTGACGCCATAATTGAGGGTCGCTCGCTCGACCAATCAGCTTGCTCGCCCGGTTGTTCCCGCTGGGCTTGGGCTTGTGACGTCATCTGGAAGGCGACGGGTGTTGACGACAGCGAGAGGGGCGTGGCCTTTGGTCCAAAGCACGTGGCGCGGGGAATAGCGGGAGAGTTTGCAGCGTTTGAAATTTGAAATTTGCAAAATTTTGCAAAAATTTCTGGATTTCTGAAGTGGTTCAAGATCGTTTCTCGGCCTTTTGGCTAAGATCAAGCGTAGTTAAAGATCTGGGGGCACATAAAGCAATTTTATGCTTTGGGTCCCCTTGCAACGAAATTCCATTTTAATGCATGCTGATTAATATACATTCCAAGTGAAGTAAAGGTGCTTTTTTTCAGGAGACAACTGGAGTTTCATTTTTTTAAAAAAGTTTTTTATTTTGAAAACATTAAAAGCAAGGCACAAACACAACATTTATATCCATATCACTTTTCCCTACAGCTACTTCGAAGTGATCCTTTCTTACTATTTACATCTATTCACACATATTTTAATTTAATTTGATTTGATTTGATTTTGATTTGATTTGATTTGTATGCCGCCCTATCTCCATAGGACTCAGGGCGGCTCACAACAATTAAGAAATACAATCCCAATCCAATAAAAACATGTTAAAAATACATATTAAACCCATAAAACACATTAAAAATAATCAAAACCCCATCAATCCGGGCTGGGCAATTTGAACAGCCATGTTTTTAGTTCGCGGCGGAAAGTGCGAAGGTCAAGGGCCAACCGGAGCCCCAGGGGGAGTTGATTCCAAAGGGTGGGTGCGCCGACAGAGAAAGCTCTACCTCTGGGTAGATGGGTAAATGAATTTTAACTTCATCTTTGTCAGATGTAAATGCCTTATTCTCCAATGTGTAAATAATGTATATATGGAACATCAGAGGTTAACTTATTCTTTGGACTTTAATGTATTCATAACTTACCACTCCCATTCCTAGCTCCACCCCTTGTATATATAAGGAGCCACCCTCACCATTCTCGTCGCTTCTACCTTGAATATTCAGTGAATATAGAATGCCTATCATAAATAAAAAGAAATATATTTAAAGCTTTAACTTCTATTATCTTTATTGAGTCTGATCCTGAAAATATTGCAACAAGCTGGTAGCAGAGGATGGTTAATTGACTCAATAAGTAATTAAAAATGTCCAAGAAAGATAGGCCCAACACCAGGGCCTACAGCAAAGAAATAGAAACTGATCAAGAGATGATCAACGAATCCACCAATGCGATTTCGAGAGAATCCGAAGAATACACCACTGAAGAAGAAGAACTAATGAGTGAAAATAATGACCAGAAAGAAATCGAAATAGAAAATAACGAACTCAGGTCAGAGATATTAAAGATACTAAAAAGCCAAAAGAATGATGAAAGTCTCATCGCGGACCTCCAGGAGATGCTGAAGAACAGCCGAGCAGCGAGAGAGAAAAACGTCATTAAAGAAAAACCCAAAGATCAAAAAATCGTAAGTGAGATGACTACTGAGAAAATAGTTGTTAAAAAGAAAAGATGTGATCCCGCGCGAAATTTTGAATGGCAGCCATCTTGGTTTCAACGAACTTCAAAAGAGAATGGAGCAGAGCCAATCAAAACGCTCAGTTCAAAATTTCTGGCGCGAAAAACACTATCAGACGAAGAAAGTGAGAAAGAAGTCTCAAACTCTTCAGATGATCCAAAATCAGAAAGTGAAGACGATTTAACAAAATCTCAAGTAAAATCAGCAATGAAAACGCTTTTTGCTGCTTTTGGGCCAAGACTGAAAATTACCAAGACATCTACGAAGAAGCAAGAAATCAAACCGGCGACTCAAGACCTGCACGCTCCCATCCTGACTTCGAAAGCGATGACGCCCGAGCCCAGAGAGCCATGCCGATTTCGCCCTACACCACAGACAAAATCGAATACCAACGCACACAAAAAGAAGAAAAGAACCGTCACCACCACCAGAACCCCAAAAACCGAGCCAGAGACCGACTCATCTGAGGAGGAGCGGATCGAGAGAGCTGAAAGGGAGAGAACCTTCCACGACGCCACCAAAGAAGAAATGAGCAACGCGCATGTGCGAAACTACGTAGACGACCCAGAAGGACTTGAACTGGCCAGAGAACCGCGCAGACTCATTGCAAGCATCCCAATGCCGTTCTGTAATTTCCTGCACTTGAGAGATCACGGACTGCCCCAGGTTGTAAGTAATGGACAGAATAATGTAGGTAACTTACCCAGTGACTTCCCAAAACTTAGAATTGATGGCATTAATTTACAAGAGTGGTATCAACAGCTTCAGGTTATTTTCATGAAAGAAAATTTACTATTCTTTATAACTAGCCCTCCAAGAAGACCTTGGACTTTAAAAATAGATTGTTTACATCATAGAGCATTTTTCATAATAATATCTAGCGTGTCTCCTGCAATGTATCATAGCATCAAACCAAACCTAACTGTATCAGAAAATAATTCAATGCATGTTTAATCTATTTCACAGCGATAGCGTAGCTACAACCACAAGAATGTCTAAGGATTTCTTTTCCTCTAGAGTAAAACCAGGGGTTTCTATAAGTGAGCATTTGATAAATCTAAACAAAATAAGAGCTGAGCTACAATTGAGGGGGGAAGTGATTTCAGATCAAACAATGAAAAGTGTTATTATCAATTCACTTGATCCATCATGGGATAGCTTTATGTCACACTTAGATACCATTAATTTGGGATATTTATCCATAGAAAATCTATCTAACAAATTGATAGCAGAAGACAATTCAAGAAAAAATCGATCCAGTAACCAAACAGACCACAAACCTTTTAGGAAAGTAGTCTTTCAAGATAAACATAATGAGGCCTTTAGATGCTACAATTGTGGATCCAGGGAACATAATAGAAGAGACTGCCCCAAAGTCTCAAGAGAGAGACATAGACCAGAATATAGGAGCAAATATATTTACAGACAATCTTCCACAGATAGACACAAATATAGAAGCCCACCAAATTACAAAGAAGGTAGAGGGGGTAGAGAAAATTCAAAAGAGAGGAAATCTGGGTCACTGAATGGGCTAAATAAACAAGACAGCACCAGAACACAGCAGGATGAGAATAACAATTGGCTTATTGATTCTGGTGCAACAAATCACACCACCAACAACAAAAGTATATTATCTTCATTTATAGAAGATAAGTTTGTGATAAAGGTAGCTAATCAAGAAAAGGTTCAAGTACTAGGCAAAGGAAATGTGACCTTGCCTGGTCTAGGGAAAATAGAGGGGGTATTATTAATCCCAGAAATACCTCACAACATACTAAGTGCCATAAAATTAAGCAGAGAATCTGATATCAATATAGTTTTCTCAAAGGGGAAAGCAACTATAGAAAAGAACAAAACAAATGTAGGTACTGTAATGATAAAAGGAGGTCTACCCTATCTGATAACTAAAGAAAGATGTTTACATAACATTGATTCAAATATGGAGGATTGTATTGAAGCAGATGATGAAAGTGTCAGTAACAGTGACAATGATGAGTGTAGAATAACTCATGATCACAAAAATACATACAAGGAAAAGAAACCAAAAATAGGTAAACCAATTCATGATGAGTGTGCTCACATCTTACACAGGAAGTTAGGACATGCAAGCTTTCCTGTAGTACAAAAAATGACTGAACACGCAGAAGGTGTCAAAATAAAAAATTGTGAAAATTATTTGGAATGCTCAGTATGTAAGTCCACCAAACTAAAAACCAGTCCCAGACCAAAAAAATCTAACAGATCAACTAACAATATTTTTGATTTGGTACATATGGACTTAGTTGGTCCATTAAGTCCCTCAATTACCTATAGAAAACGTTACTTCCTAACTATAGTGGATGACTACAGCCGATATGGTTTTGTTTACACATTAAAGCACAAGGATGAAACATTTCAGAAATTTAAGGAATTCTACAAACGTATAGAAACACAACATAATATCAGAATAAAGCAAATTATGACAGATAGGGGATGTGAGTTCATGTCTAAAGAATTCTCCCAATGGTTAAAGGATAGAGGAATGTTACATTTCACGTCCAATCCTTTTTCTGCATTTCAAAATGGAGTTGCAGAGAGGAAAAATTCCACACTACAAACCATGATTAGGTGCACATTAGAGGATGCTGGTTTAGGCAAACAATTTTGGTCAGAGGCATTACATTATTCGAATTACACTCAAAATAGAACCTGGTCCAGTATTGTGAATAAGACACCATATGAGGTGATGTACAATAGAAAACCCAAATTATCACACATGCACATATTTGGAGTCACTGCAGACGTACACATACCTAAACAATTGAGGAGAAAGGGAGAAAACGTATCCAGGAGATTAAGATTCATGGGATACGAAACTGGAACCAAAGGGTACAGATTTATTGATAGTAATAACAAATTTATAGTATCCAGAACAGCTGTGTTCCATGAACAGGCCAATTGGTCAAAATTGCACCTTAATGAAATATTTCCTAATAAATGTAAAGATACAATATCTTGCGAGGAAGGAACAACAGAAAATCAAAACATTAACAAAAGTAAGAACAAAACCAAAACTTGGACTAATAGTCAGCATAAAATAAAGACAGACACATTAACAAAAAAGGAAGCTAGATATTTGCATGATAACCATAGCAAGCCTGAAAGAACTATTAGAAACAATAGAAACCAAATACCAAATAAATACAAAGATTACATAATGCATATGAATGGAGAACAAATAACACCTAATACATATGAAGAAGTATTGAAACTTCCACATGAAGAAAGAGAAAAATGGGAACTAGCTATGGAAAAAGAGATGGAAAGTTTACAAGGATTAAATGTATTCACACCTGCGATCGCACCTAAGGATAAAACAATTATAGGTACCAGGTGGATTTATAAAATTAAGAACTTAGAAGGAGGCAATACCTTATACAAGGCTAGACTAGTTGCACAAGGCTATGCACAAAAATACCCAGAAGACTATACTGATACATATTCACCCACAGTGAGAACTGAGAGTGTCAAAACAGCCCTTGTAGTAGCATCTGCACTCAATCTGGAAGTATTCCAATATGACATACAGACCGCATACTTACATGCAAAATTAGATAAGGAAATATATGTAAGAGCACCACACAGTCAATACACTAATAAGAACGAAATTTGGTTATTAAATAAGAGTCTGTACGGATTAAAGCAATCCGGCAAAAGATGGTACGATTGCTTGGTAAAAGTACTTAAGACCATGGATTTCAACGCCACCACTGCTGATAACTGTTTCTTTGTAAAAAAGAGTAATGATCATATTGAATTTGTATTAATTTACGTGGACGATATTTTATACATTGGAAAGCATAAAGAGAGCAGGGAAATCTTTGTAAATAAGTTAAATGAACACTTCTCACTGAAATCTCTGGGTAAAGTGAATAAATACCTTGGTGTGCAAATTAACAAAACTAAAAGGGGATTCAAACTTACACAGAAAGACAAAATCATCGAACTCCTAAACAAATGTAACTTAAATAATGCTAAAACCTGTGACACCCCTATGCAAACTGATTTTCTTAGAAACACTGATGAATCTTCCCCTGAGTTTAAAGACAACACATTTTACAGATCAGTTATAGGTTCACTCCTTTATATATCTAATTGGACTAGGCCAGATATTGCATTACCTCTCAATCTATTGTCAAGATATGTTAGTAAACCAACCTTGTATCATTGGGAAGCTGTCAAAAGAATTCTAAGATATCTGAAGGGTACATTAGATTTTTGTTTAATGTTGGAACCCAATAATGACAAAGAACCAAAAATTACTTGTTATGCTGATGCAGATTGGGCTGGTGATACATCATGCAGAAAGAGTACTTCTGGTTATGTTTTTCTATTGAATGATTGTCCAGTTTACTGGTATACTGGTAAACAAGAACTAGTAGCCACTTCTACTACAGAAGCGGAATATGTTTGTTTGTCCAAAGCTGCAAATAACCTTGTATGGTTCAATGATCTGATCACTGATGTTTGGAAGAAACCCACCTTACCATTTATTATGCATGAAGACAATAAAGCGGCCATTGAAATATCCAGATCCGATGCAATTGGACAAAGGTCCAGGCATATTGATATAAAGTTTAAGCATGTGAGACAACTGTCTCAAGACGGATTCATTAAAGCAATACATTGCGATACTTCTGAACAATTAGCTGACATATTAACAAAACCCTTACCTTCTAAACAACACAAATATTTAACTTCTAAATTATATGTATTATATTGTCCTGAATCAGAATGTAATTGGTGTTGTGTAACGAACCGGCATTTAGAGGGGGATTTGTCAGATGTAAATGCCTTATTCTCCAATGTGTAAATAATGTATATATGGAACATCAGAGGTTAACTTATTCTTTGGACTTTAATGTATTCATAACTTACCACTCCCATTCCTAGCTCCACCCCTTGTATATATAAGGAGCCACCCTCACCATTCTCGTCGCTTCTACCTTGAATATTCAGTGAATATAGAATGCCTATCATAAATAAAAAGAAATATATTTAAAGCTTTAACTTCTATTATCTTTATTGAGTCTGATCCTGAAAATATTGCAACAATCTTATTCAACAATTTATTTTCCATCATTCTTTCTTTCGTCTAGATTGTACTTGGATCTTCAACATTTTTTCTCCCCTCTCTCCTTTATTCCTCTTTCTCATTTTTCCTATTCTCCAACCATTCATACCATCTACACCACACTTTGTAATATTCTGTATCCTCTTCTTGATTTCTTTTGTTAATTTGTCCATCTTTGCGCACTCTTAAGATTTTCCTAATTAAGTCTTCTGATGGTAAGTTTTCCTTTTTCCAATTTTGCGCATAGACTATGTGGGCTGCTGTCAGTATATGTAATATTAAATTATATATTTCCTTAGTATAATTTTCTGTGGAAATCCCTAGTAGAAACTGCTCAGGTTCTCCCTTTATTGAATTCTGAATTATTTCCTCTATCCACTTTTTACAACTGGACTTTCTTGGTTTTTTTTTTCTTTTGAAGACGTTTCGCTTCTCCTCCAAGAAGCTTCTTCAGCTCTGACAGGATGGTGGGGGAATGGAGGGATTTATATTCCTTGCAGACAGCTGGTCATTTGCATCCTTTTAGAGGGTCCTTTTAAAACAAGGGATCGGTTCCTATTTCAGAGAACCTGTCTCTCTGTTCCAATCTGCTCTTTGTTTTTATTTTCTAGCAATACTTCATGGTCAGCTTAGATCCTGCAAGTCGGTGAGGACATCTGCCCTTGGAATAGGTACAGATTAAAACATCCCAATCCACATTCTTACTTAGTCTTTCAAGGGGTTCCCTGCTACCCTTTAACAGCAGGAGTAAGGACAAAAATATAAACTAAAAGAATGCAAAAGGACCAGCCGTCTGCAAGGAATATAAATCCTTCCAATCCCCACTATCTTGTCAGAGCTGAAAAAACTTCTTGGATGTGAAACAAAACGGCTTCAAAAAAGGAAAAAAACAGAAAGTCCAGTTGCCTCTTGAAAAAGCACCTTTGGGACAACCAGGACCTGGATGACTTGAGAATCTCTACAGATTCAAAGTGACAACAAAGTTAAAGTTATTCTAAGTCTCTCTTGGTCAAGGAGGAACGTGTGAACGGATCTTTAACTCGAGCTGACACGAATGTTGCATTAGAATTGGGGTATGAGGCTGTCCTCCGGATTTACAACTACAATCTAGCACCAGTGAAACATTTGTTAAGTGAGTTTTGCTCCATTTTATGACCTTTCTTGCCTCAGTGGTTAAGTGAATCGTGGCCATTGATAAGTAAATAACCTAGTTGTTCAACGAACAGGTAGTTTCTGGCCTCCGGAGGGCCAGGGGAGGCTGTTTTCACACTCCCGGAGGCTCCAGGAAAGCCTCCAGAGCCTGGGGAGGGCGGAAAACAGGCTTACCGGAAGTCTGGAAACGGGCTGTTTCTGGCCTCTGGAGGCTTCAGGGAGGCCTGCTAGGCCCAAAATGGGGCACGGGGGATGGGGGTCACACGTGCATGGGGGGGCAGCGCGGGGGGAGCATTGCATTATGGTGTGGTGTGGGCCAAAAACTCCCAGCCATTATGGCTTAGTTAAAATATCCTTATGAAGCATGATACACAATGCTTTGCCAATTAACTCAGCTTGTGTTAATTTAACAAGATCGGGCTTTTTTGAGAGTTCAGCTCCGGTTCAGCCCCCATTCAGGTCCACTGCATATGTGCGCGTGCCTCCCACCGGCCAGCTGGTCTTCAGGTCTCTGCCACACAGGGCGCATGTGCGGGGGCCGTGCGCGCATTGCATTTTGGGGGTTCGGCCGTGCGTATGTGCTTTGGGCACTCGGTCCATAAAAGGTTAGCCGTCACTGGCTTATAATTTTTCCTGGATAACCCTGGACCCTTTTTCTTTGACAAAGCGATAAAGCACTGCGTGTTTTTTTTCTTAGAAACATATAAATTATTTTATTTACAAAGCCATGTTACAAATAATAATAATAATAATAACAATAATAATAATAAAGCAAAACCAACAAATAACAAAAGAAATACAATCGCCCGCTAGAGAATATCTCTAGGCCTGGTGCTAAAACATTGGCAGTATCAGTCAGATACATACGTTTGTTCTTTATTTTCCCTTTTCTCAAAACTGTAAGTCATAAATTTTTACTATTTACATCTACTTTCAACACTTACAATTATCACAAGCATGGAATGGTTTCTCTCTTGATACTGCTAATACATAAAAGGTGCAGGAGGAGGAAAATAGTGTTACAAAATATGGGTCCGTAGAAAAGAAATCCACTGTACACATATGGCAATTTTTTTTCATTTTTAGAATGATTGGACGTGCTTATCTTCAAAAGTCTTCTTCGAAAAAGGTTCTAAAATCTGTAGTAGGAAAGCATAATTGAGGAGGTGCAAATTTCACTTCTGTGCAACAGTTTGTTTGTTTTTTTTTAAAATTTATTTATTTCCCATGACTGACCAGCTATGTAAAACCCAAAGTTTCGTTAAAGTGCCATGGGTAAAACAGCGTAACAAAATAGAAGGTGTAGATAGAAAAAATTTTCTTCTTCTTTTTTTTTTTTTAAACAAGAGTTCACTGAGAATCGGCAATAATAGAATATGCTGTATAAACTATTCTCTACAAAGGTTGATCCGCACTATGTACAATTGTTAACATCGATACAAAAGAAGGCATACAAAGTTATTCCAAGTTTGCTTTTTTTAAATTTAATTTAATTTTTTTTAAAATATGGCTGACTGGGCCTATGCATTGCGTTATGTGTTAACGACCAAAGTTTCTGTGCCTCTATTGCTGGAAATCACGTCTTCTGGAAAGCTGGGGGTGTAGAAGGGAAAATGGTTGGAAAGGAGGGGCGAAAAAAAAAACAGTTTAACAAATGCTACACTACAATACAGTCTGGTCCAGTCCATTTCCATTTTTAAAACCACATTATATATATACCATTTTGGTATATATAATGACCTTTTTTTTAAAAAAAAAATGATGGGACAAAATGTGGAGGGTTGTATTTGATACTTAGGTTTCCAAAATTCTGTGAGATCTAAGTCACGGAAAATGAAACGTTTAAAATGAGCGTTATTCCAAAACACCCACAAATATCCAGCTTTCTACATAATAGATGCATGTTAAGCTAAAGAAGTCTTGACATTATTAATTTTTTCCTTCAGCAGCCACTCAAAATTCATATTCATTGTATCTTTCCCCACCACCCCCTCAAAAATATAGATCAGCAGTTCGATCATCGGAGTGTTGTTTTGCTACTGAAATTTCATAACTCCTGCAGCTACACAACACAAAATAAATTAGTTTTTAAAAAACGAGGCTCTGTTCCTACAACCAATGACAAAAAAAAAAAAAATTGTGCAAAAATAAAGATATGTACATATTTTTTTTTCCAATCTGAAGAATGTACAATAAAACGTAACTCAAAATACATGAAAAATACAACCATTGCTTATATTTTCTTAAGTTTCACATCGTTCATGAAACTACTCTTGTCACTTCCCAAGTATAAGAAAAACATAAATTACAATAACATTATAAAAATTATTTGGAGAATATTTTCTAATTTCCCCCAAAGAGGCCTAGCCTTGTTTATTGTTGTTAAACATTTTTTTCCCCTATGTTTTAAAATTTGCCATAAGCCTTTACTTTAAAAGGAAAGAAGCTAATAAATCTATTTGCATTCGTTTTTCATTTCTCCCCAAGATGTAAATAAACCGGCATTTAAGTGCACTTTTAATTCTGTAGAAAGAAAAAGTTATTTCCTTTGTAGTAATTTTGTAAGTACCTTAGTATAATTGGTTTCCTGATTACAAAAAAATCTACTTTCGTTTTTTTTAAAAAATCAGTAATTCCTGTAAAAACATTGTCAGTGCAATTCGACTGATGCAATTTCAGTTATGTCCAACTTCTGTCTTTTATTTTAGAATAATGCTTTACGAAGGACAGCAGTCCTTTTCTTAGCCCCTTCACCCAGGGCATGAGGAAAGGGTCACACAATATTCCTATAATATTGGCAATAGTTAGATGCGTTAACCCTTCAGTGTGTGGCAAGAATCTAGAAACACTGAAACTTGTAACCGTTAAGTCAGCAAAATGGATGGACATTTTTCTTTTGATCCCGAGGACAATAATTAATACAGAAGTTACTGCAAATTGAAAATAATAGCTTTGCTCAATCTATTCTCTTTTTTTTATCACAAATGGCATTATTTCAAAATGTCCGCCACTCTCCCGTTGTTGCAAGAAACTTAAAAAGAAAAGAGTAAATTTCCTTCCGAAGGCATTAATTTAAAAAAAAATCAAGACCGATTGCACAGATCAGAGGCCAACACATGTAAGAAATTAAAGTAAACCATGACTACAAATTTTATGGGGGAAAAAAACGAACGATTTTAATACAAAATTACGAAAAAATATCTGCAGGACACAGAAACCAATAAGCTGGCTTGGAGAAGGGCTGCAAAAATATAGAGATGGTTCTCCTTATTTCACGGAAGAGTCCTTATCCTACCAGGCCGACTTAACGTTTTCTGAAAAGAGAAAATAAACAGTTCACTTTACATGACAAATGGGATTGTGATGAATTTTTTAAAAACACACACGAACGGTCACTAAATGAACTGTTGTAACTTGCTAAAATAAGCCACATTTGTTGACAATAATACAGCAATTGAGTGATGCATATTATGATTTAAATATAATTTTAAAAAAACAAACAAACTCACTTGTTTGTTGTGCATTAGATTTGATGTACTTGAAGGACTGGACTGGGACAAAGCTACACCACTGTTTTTCCCAATCTGCAAATAATAATACAAATTATTATGATAATCTGCAAATAATAATAACGATAAAACAAAAAAAGAGATCCTTATTTCCACTGATTCCTGTTTCACTGGAACAGAGTTTTCATTTTTTTAAAAAAACCAATTGTTCTTAAACACATTAAAGGAAGGCTTATTTCCAGCAACCTAGCCTGAGATATGAAAAATGCTGTCATAGGATGTTTCAGGCCTAAGCCCAGGGGTGGGGCTGCTGGGGGTTCGCAAGGGTTCGGGAGAACCTCTAGCGAAGATTCTGTGCAGTTTGGAGAACTCCCAAATCCCACTCCTGGCTGACCCCGCCCCTCCCCGGAGTCCCCAAGCGGCCCGTTTTGGATGCAGGTAAGTTCAGAGTGCGCGTGGAATTCGTGGAGGGTGAAAAACGGGCCTACCGGAAGTTCGGGAAGCGAGCCTGTTTTCAGCCTCCAGAGCCTGGGGAGGCCGTTTTCGCCCTCCTGGAGACTCGGGAAAAGCCTCTGGAGCCCAGGGAGGGCAAAAATGCACACATCCCTCACCGTGGTTCAGGAGGCCGACTAGGCCACGCCGATCCTGCAACTGGGCAGAGAACCCCTTGCTAAAATTTTTGAAGCCCGCCCCTGCCTAAAAAGATTGTGCTGATTTTTTTCTGGAAATCTCACATGGATCCCATCCTGAGATTTCTCAAGAAGACTGATTTCTTCTAAGACAGGGGTGTCAAACTCAAGGCCTGCGTGTCGGATCCGGCCCACTGAGTGCTTAGCTCTGGCCCACGGGGCTGTCCTGGAAACAGCAAAGGACCGGCCTGCGGTACCTCTGCCAGTGAAAACGGAGCTCGGGGTGTGTGTGTTTTGGGTTAGCCCCTCCCAAGCATCGTTTTCGCTGGGAGAGGGCTAAAACATTTCAGCATGCAAGTATTTGTATTTGAGTATGCAAGAAGGGACAGGAAAGGAGAAAGGGAAAGGGGAATGACAAAGAAAAAGAAGGAAAGATGGGAAGAGAGCACGGAAGGAAAAATAAGGAAAGAAGGGAAGGAAGAAGGAGAAGGAAGAGAGAAGGAAAAAAGAAGGGAAAGGAAGGAGATTATAATGAGAGTGAGGGCAGGTCTGAGGGAAGTCCTGCCTTAGCCACCACAGGCGCCCCTGACATGAGTGACGTCAAGCTGGCCACGCCCACCCCGGCCCCCTGAGGTCAAGCACAACCCTGATGCAGCCCTCAAATGAAATCGACTTTTAACACCCCTGTTCTAAGACCAACCAAAGCTGACTTACCGGTCGAGAGATGGCGTTGTTTGGCGTATCCGGCACCGGAGAAATGAGATTGGCTGTGCTCTTTTTATGAACACTATTCATTCCAGGCATTTTAGTGATTTTACAGGCTTTGCTGCTAGCGCTTGAGTTCTTGCGTTTTTTCCCTTCCGATTTGTCAAAACAAAGGGGCAGAGAAGAGACCGCGTTGTGCGGGGCGAGGGAGTGGTCCGCCAAAGGGTGCACCAGGGAAGGGACAGAGAAACTTGAGGGGTCAATACTGCTCACGACGATGCTCATATGTTTCACCGAGTCCGCCGCCGCGCTACCGGAGAGCGAAGTCCGTCCTGAGGGCTCTGATTTGGCACTGAAGGGGCTTGTTCCATTGTTTGTGTTGTGCACAGACAGGCTGTTATAGGAAGCTGTCGCCTGGTAAGAATTGAGGGTGGAACTGGGGTTCAAGACACAGTTCTTCCTGTGCGCCCCTGAAAACGAGGACGAGGAGGAAGTCTGCAAAGATAACGAAGAAGAGGAGGAGGAGGAGGAGGAGGAAGACGACGGCAGCTTTCTCTTTTTGTTACTCGAAGGCTCGTCACCGCGACACAACAGGTCTCTGACTTTGGAGGATTTGCTGGTTTTCGTTTTGGATGGCTTGTGAGACGGGGAAGGGATGACGGCCGGCAGCGGCGACAGGGCGGACGGCATCTTAAAAGTGGAGTCGACGATGCTCAGGCTGGCCGCCACGTGAGGGAAGGCGGTGGCGTGGGACGTTATGGAGTTGGTGTCCGACGCCGTCGCCAAAGCGGCGTTGGACAACATGGCGGAAGTCATGACGTAAGAAGGAGGGATTCTTGAGCTGACGGGCGCGGAGGGAATGTAGGCCGAGGTGGGGTTACTGAAAGGTTGGAGGACGGAGGACGGGAAGGGGCTGCTGATATGGGCTGCTGGAGACGGCATGGGGCTATCCACCGCAGGAGGGATCTTCCTAAAGTATAGAAGGAAAGAAAGACACGTTGGGATCAGGGGTGAAATGCTACTGGTTCGGTCCGGTTCACCCAAACTGGTAGTAAAAAAGGCTACTGGTTCGCCGAACCGGTAGTAAAAAATATTTTTAAAAAAGTTCCGACGATCAGCTGAGTGACGCGAGATTGTCGGAACTTTTTTTAAAAAAAATTAGCATTTTTTTACTAAAGATAAACTGGTAGTTAAAAATGCTTTTAAAAAGTAAAAAAAGAGGCTCGGATAATCACAGCTATGGCGCGCAATCGTCAGAGCCTTTTTTTTTTACTTTTTAAAGCATTTTTTTACCACCTATTCACTGAATAGGTTGTAAAAAAATGCTTTTAAAAGTAAAAAAAAAAAGGCTCTGAAGATCGCGTGCCACAGCTGATCACCATGCTCCACGGGGTTCTACTTATCCCATGCCTCCTTTTGGTGTGCACTGCGTGCGCGCACCTCGCATTTGGTGCATAATGCGCACTGCGCGCAACACACACTTGGCACGCAGCGCGCATGTGCAGCCAGCAAACCGGTTCAGATTTCACCACTGGTTGGGATGGAGGCATTTTCCTTCAGTCCTACCCAACATCCTTAGCTAACGAAGCAGAAAGAGCTTTCCTACAAGGATTAAGAAATAGGAACGCGGACTCAGATTTCCACAGTTAAAGGTTTTATCCAGGGTAATGACTGTTAACAGCCACTACATAGGACAAAGAGGCAAAAGATTGGCAGAACGCATCCATGAATGCCAACTAGCGGTCAAAAGACATGGTGAAAACTCTTTAAATTTCGAAGCACGTGGAGAGGCTTCACCAGAGTTTCAACTTTGTGACCGTCCTAGACCAAGTCAAAAACGCTCGAGAATTGCTGGAAGCCTTGGCAGTCTGACAAATTAGCCATCAGTAGATACATAAACAATATATATACATCGGTGCAAGAGAGACAAGCAACTAGCCTAAAAGGGGGAAAAAAATAGACCAGGACATCTTCTGACCTCTTCAACAGAGTAACAGAGTCGGAAGGGTCCTCAGAGGTCTTCTAGACCAACCCCCTGCTCAAGCAAGAGATCCTGTACCATTCTGGACAAATGGCTGTCCTGTCTCCTCTTAAAAACCTCCAGTGATGGAGCACCCACCACTTCTCTATTATGACATCAGTCCATGAATATCATCACAAAGCTTTGCCTGTAAAACTCATTATATTATCATATGCCAGAATCTTGATATAAAAAAGGTATTAAGAAACATGTGAATTAACTGAATTAACAGGGATGTTTTTATTGATTATTTACTACATTCAAACCACCTTACCCTTCTGTTCACTCTGCATCATTCACATGTAACATGATAGACAGAGATAGATGATAGATAGATAGATAGATAGATAGATAGATAGATAGATAGATAGATAGATAGATAGATAGATACCCTGTTTCCCCCAAAATAAGACATCCCCTGATAATAAGCCCAATCGGGCTTTTGAGCGCATGGCAATAAGGCCAAGCACTTATTTCAGGATTCAAAAAAATATAAGACAGGGTCTTATTTTCGGGGAAACACGGTAGATAGATAGATGGAGGGAGGGAGGAGGGAGGGAGGGAGGAAGAGAGAGAGAGAGAGAGAGAGAGAGAGAGAGAGAGAGAGAGAGAGAGAGAGAAAGAAGCAAGTTTTTCTCAAAATGTGGCTAATACTTTATTCCTTTGTAGTTACTAAAAGTATTCCTATTCTGCAACGTTACTATTATCCTTGCTTTGGCATTAGAATTACACATTATTTATGCGCTATTTTTTTTACAGAACACTATTAAGTTAGTATTTTCTTTGCCTCTCAGTCACCTGACTTGCGAGTTGGGAGGCAAATAAATTTGATTTAAAAAAATAAACAAGCATTAAAATAAGAACTATCCAGACAACACAGATATACTTACTTCCACATTTGTGAGTTTAAGTGTTTTTCTACCATAGAATTTAGTGCTAGCCGAAAATGGTCCCATCTCCTATCAAATACGTAGTATCCTCTTCCCATCAGGTGACTTCCAAATGAACAGAACTAGGAAAGAAAGAGGAGGAAACAAAAGAGTAGTATTTTAAATATTACTTTAATTTATCCTTGCATTCGAATTGTTGGTTAAACTGTGGCTTTGCTAGTAACATTATTGTAGGAAAGAATGGTATGGTCCGTCCCCCCCCGCCTCTTCAACAGGGTTTGGAAATTGTGAGAAAAGGAGTGGCAAAATTTGGGGGCAGAGTGAAAAGGGGCATCAGCCTAGAATCCCTGCGTAGCCACAAGCAAACTACGCCCAACCTCCCTTGAATTCTGTTGATCCTTATCTAACCCCAAGCAAGCGCTGACTGTTAGTTAGACTTGGTCTTTTGCGCCTGATAGAAGTGACCTTATCTCTCACATTTTTCCTGTCCGAATTGTACTTTCCAAAATTTGTGATTCTTATAAAAATTATCCATGGTATGCAAACTCCAGTCGGTGCAAATAGTAGTTGCTCAGCAAATATTTGAGGGGAATTCAGAACTTCCGTTTCAATTATTTGCATTTACAAAAGGTAACAATATTAGGCAAAATATTGCCAGTTGAGAAACAAAAATAATTTAACGACAAGGGTCGCTAAACAGTTGTGAATGGCACAGCCAATGGAGAAAAACTGGGTGTGGGGGGGCCGCAACAGCCTCCTGCAGCCCCGCCAGCAAAAATGGAGCTCCTCTGCTGTTTCCAGGCCAGTCCTGTAGGCCGGATCTAAGCACCCCACGGGCCGAAACTGGGACTGGCGTTTGACATCCCTGGTCTAAGAGCAGAGGTGGGATTGAAAGATTTTAGCAACCGACACTCCAGATACTATACCAAAGAAATACAATATCTAATTTTACATATTATAACGGCAGCCAGGATAACACATGCACAGAATTGGAAAAGCAACACTCTACCAAAAGAGGAGGAGGTGATAAAGAAAATTTTGGATTGTGCGGAGATGGACAAATTGACGAAAGAGATAAAAGAAAAAGATGAAACGGAATATTATTTAATATGGAATAAACGGTATAAATGGCTATAGAGAATAACAAACAAGGATTATTAATGTACCACTAAACAGACAATGTATGTAAAGTAATCTATAGATACAATAATATGTATAACAGACAAAGAAATGTATATATAAATAAGTAAGGAACAACAAGGAACCACAAATATATGTGAAGATGGGGAGGGGAAAAAACGTGACTTGTAGAGGAATACCGATATGAAACTGTTGTAAAATGGAAATTTATCTTTTGTGTTTGTTTCTGTTTTTGTTTTTAAAGAAAAATAATAATAAAAATTATTTTAAAAAAAATTTAACAACCGATTCTCTGCCAGTTTGCGGGTGGGCATAGGGGCGTGGCCTAGTCGGCTTCCTGCACCATGGCCGGGGGGGGGGGCGTTTTCGCCCTCCCCATGCTCCGGAGGTTTTCCTCGAGCCTCTAGGAGGGCAAAAAGGGCCTCCCCCGAGCTCCAGAGGCCCAAAACGGGCCTGTTTCCGAACTTCCAGTAGGCCCATTTTTCACCCTCCCAGAGCCACCACGCGGGCCCTTGCACTTACCTGGCATCCAAAACGGGCCGCGTGGAGCCTCCGGGGAAGAGAGGGGCGGGGTCAGCCAGTCCTTGCAACTACCGGTTCAGATTAAAATTAACATCCGGTTCACCCCTGAATCCCACCCCTGTCTAAGAGCACATGTTGCACATCTGCAGACAGCCAGAGGCAGCTTTTCAAGCAGCCGATCAAGAACTCCTATAAATGCACTGAAAAATGTCTTCTTTTGGGCCAATGCAATTTGTCGAAGGCCTCTCCTGAACGCTTGACGTAGCCCTAACATTCAGCCATCCATAAATGCCACCAACAGATAAGGTTATAAGGAAAAAAAAAAAGAGAGAGATACCCCAAGCGGCCGAGGATGGTGCCCCGAATAGGAGCAGTCTAATTTTTCGGCTTCTTCGGTTCCTTCTCCTTCTCCTTCATCGCTGGATAATCTGCAGAGTAAGTCTCCCCCCAAGGCTGGGAGAGGCAATTCTTGTACGTTCCCGCTGTGATTTGAAGAGGTGCTGCTGCTGTTTATGCTGTTTGAAGAGGAGGGCCTAAGGAGAGGTTAAAACATCACGTCTGTAAAAATGGGCGGCTGGATAAATTTGATTAAAGTAAAAAGTTCACAGGACCACATCAGGTTCAGCACTGAAGTTCTACAGGTTATTTCGCAGAAAGCAAGAAAGAAAACAAAAACCCCGCTGAGATTGTTAGCTTAAGAAGTGACTCGTATAACCCTTAAGTTCCTTGGGATTCAGCGAGACTGACCTCTGAAAAAATATCCAAAGAATCTGACTGTACCACCATGAGTTTAAAGCAGGCATCCTCAAACTATGGCCCGCGGGCCGGATACGGCCTGCCAATGCAAAGTATCCGGCCCGCGGAGTGGTGTGATTAAGCCCCGCCTCTCACCGTGGGCCTTATCTTCTAGCGAGCCAGCTGGAACGCCAGCTGCGAGGTGATCTCGCCAGTGCAGCCTTGCTTGTAAAGTACTGCTTTAAATTAAAAGTCTTTGAAAATAATTTAAACCGGAGCTTAGGAAGGAGAAAGGCAAAAAAATTGGACTGTTAAAATTGGCCACGCCCACCCAGTCACATGACCACCTAGCCACGCCCGCCCACCCAGTTCGGGGCGGGGGCAACAGCTTGAGGGACTGTGAATCGGCCCCCCATTTAAAAAGTTTGAGGACCCCTGGTTTAAAGTCAGAAAGACGTGTGTTAAAGATTTCCTATAAAAGCCGACACACGTAGCGAAATTTTGCTGTATTCTGTAGTTCCCTATCAATTTAATTCCAATTTTAGTTGATTTACTATATAGAACTCTAGTTGGAAGTTTACAAGTTTGGAAATATACAGTTGGGAACTCAACTCTGGTTGAGTTCTGGTTTGGGGTACAGGTGGTCCTCGACTTATGACCACCTTTGAGCCCAGAATTTCTGCTGCTAAGCGAGACAGTTAAGTTAATTTTACCCCATTTTACGACCTTCCTTGCCACGGCTGTTAAGTGAATCACTCTAGTAACTAAAATGTTGCTAAGTGAATCTGGCTTCCCCACTGACTTGGCTTGTCAGAAAGTCGCAAAACGTGATCACATGACCCAAGGACACTGCGACCGTCATAAATATGAGTCAGATGACAAGACTCTGAATTTTGATCACATGACTGTGAGGATGCTGCAATTGTTGTTAAGTGTGAAGAATGATCATGAGTCACTTTTTTTCATTGCCGTTGTAATTCTGAACGGTCACTAACTGGACTGTTGTAAGTCGAGGACTATCGGTACAGCTGGTCCTTGACTTACAACAGTTTGTTTAGTGACCGTTCAAAGTTTACAACGGTACTCAAAAAAAGTGACGCAAGACCCATTTTTCACACCACCTTTCGCAGGTCACGTGATTTACAGCTTGGCAAGTGTCTCACATTTATGACGGTGGCAGTGTCCCAGAGTCACGCGATCCCCCTTTCGACGAGCCGAGTCAATGGAGAAGCCAGATTCACTTAACAACCCTGTGACTAACTTAACAGTTGCAGTGATTCACTTAGCAACTATGGCGAGAAAAGTCGTAACACGGGGCAGGACTCACTTAACAAACGTCTCACTTAGCAACAGAAACTTTGGGCTCAATTGTGGCCCTAAGTCGAGGACTACCTGTACAAAGGACTTATGGCTTCAGGCCAGATATTACTCACCTAGGAAATACTGAGTTGGGCTGTCTAGATTTGGCAGGTGATGCTCCTTTAAGTTCTTGCCCGGAGTTCGCGGATGATCCTGTTACGGCATCTGCGCCTGATATGGGTTGGCTTTGATGCGTTTCCCTTACGGATTGTGGGTGATCTTTGTCTTTCGTCACTTCCTTTTCCCGCGATCGAGCTTTGTGTTCAGCTAGAAGGATGTCGAACTGCTTTTTGCGACCTAAAACTGCTCGTCGATGGTTAAGAGAATGAGTCTACAAAATAAATAAATAAAGGGGTTAAAAGGTGGTGAGAAATTCGAAGTTCCTCTTTGAAATCCAAAGAGATTCCATTCTGTTTCTCTTTCTCTCATTCTCTCTTTATATTAAGTATTAGCCTGTTTCTCCCCAAAATAAGACATCCCCTGATAATAAGCCCAATCGGGCTTTCGAGCACATGGCAATAAGGCCAAGCGCTTATTTCAGGGTTCAAAACAATATAAGACAGGGTCTTATTTTTGGAGAAACTGGAAAATAAACCGGGTGACGTATGGGCAGGAGGTTGGAGTAGAAGACCTCCATAGTCCCTTCCAACCCATATTCGGTTTATGTCATCTGTGAATCTGTCCTGGAGGGAAATATTCCTTTGCTGCTACCATGTTTCCCGAAAATAAGACCCTGTCTTACATTTTTTTGAACCCCGAAATAAGCGCTTGGCCTTATTTTCAGGGAGGTCTTATTATTTTGGGGCGCATGGAGCAAGATGGGGCTCCTCTTGCCTTCTTACCTGATTTCCTATTCTGCATTTAAATATTTTCGGGGAGGGCTTATTTTTTTGGTGGGGGGGGGGCTTATTTTAGTGCATGCGCTCAAAAGCCCGATTGGGCTTATTATCAGGGGATGTCTTATTTTCAGGGAAACAGGGTAAGAGCGTTTCTTAATAGAGTTTCTTAATATTAATAGAGTTGAAGGCCAGACATCATATTTTTGGCCCGGTTAAAAAAACCAGGGACCTAAAAATATTCCTACAGAATAACAATTATAGCCTTCAGCAAATAACTATCAAATAACTATCATAGGATTGTCATATCTCAACCAGGAAGAAAATGTACCTTGCAGGTGAGTGACCTCGTGCAGGGTTTCTTGGTTTCGGGGTCCAATACTCCGCAATGTTTATTTGGGTCAAACTCTCTTTCTGTTTAAAAATACATAAAATAGGTTCTTTAAAGAAAAAGCGACGGCATAATATTACGTGAACAAACTGGAAAGACACGGCAAGGCTGCACATCAAAAGGGACGTGTAAAAATAGCGCATTTTCTCTAAACTGGGCGCGTTTCCCTTCTGGTTTTTAACCCATTTCAAGGGAGAAACCACGAGCAAGGCCTACATACAATCCGTGGCCCTCTAAGAAATAATTAGATAATCTGATTATTAGGAATAAATGAGCTTCAGGGTTCTGAAGGAAGAGAAGGCTGGAAAGGATTATCAAAAGGAGCAGCTCAGGCAGCTCTGCCTCCTGAATTTATATGTGTGTAATATAGAAGACCTCTCTGGGGCCACACTTAATTGGGGTCACTACAGTAGTAGCCCTCCACTTACAACAGTTCACGTAGTGACTATTCAAAGGTACGACGGCACTAAATCAAACTGTTGTAAGCAGGGTGGATTTGATTTAAATCGAGTTGATTTAAATCACAATTTAAATCACTAGTAAAAAGGCTTGATTTAAATCAACTCGATTTAAATCATAATTTTTAAAGAGCAACTGTCATCTCTGCTACTCCTTTGACCCACTGTTGACTCACCGATAGTCCCAGTGTTGCAGAATATACAGCCTCCTGCTACATAACTAAGCTCCATTTCATGCTGAATAAACTAAATTATTTATGTATCTTAAATAGAAAACTATCTTACGAGAGATTTTTACCCCAAAAGTTTTTTATTAAAATAAATTCGATTTAAATAAAAAAAAATCTGATTTAAATAAAAAAAAATCTGATTTTTTTGATTTTTTTTTTTTAAAAAATTGATTTTTATCCACCCTGGTTTTAAGTCGAGGACTACCCAGGGGTGGGCTGCTGGGGATTCGCAGGGGTTCGGGAGAATCTCTAGCTAAGATTCTGTGCAGTTCGGACAACCTCCAAATCCCACTCCTGGCTGGCCCCGCCCCTCCCGCCCCTCCCAGGAGTCCCCATGCAGCCCGTTTTGGATGCAGGTAAGTGCAGGGTGTACGTGGAGGCTCGGGGAGGGCAAAAAATGGGCCTACCGGAAGTTCAGGAAGGCTGCAAGGGCCCGTTTCCAGCCTCCAGAGCCTGGGGAGGCCATTTTCGCCCTCCTGGAGGCTCGAGAAAAGCCTCCAGAGCCTGGGGAGGCCGTTTTCGCCCTCCTGGAGGCTCGAGAAAAGCCTCCAGAGCCCAGGGAGGGCAAATCCCCACCCCCTACCGTGGTGCAGGAGGTCGACTAGGCCACGCCCACCATGGCCACGCTCACCCAGCAACCAGGCAGAGAACCCCTTGCTAAAATTTCTGAAGCCCAACCCTGGGGCGAACTGTCATCGACCCTTCTCTTGGTGTCCCTGAATCCAGAAGAAGAGCTGCGGGGCAAGAAAACTTTAGAGCAGGCGTAGGCAACTGTTGGCACTCCAGATGTTTATCTTAAGTTCTCCAATCTTTGACCCTCAGCTATGCAGCTCAAGGATGTTTCAGGACTCTCGTTCAACCACATCTGGAGTGTCAGAGTGTCCTTGTTTATCCACTGCTGTCCCGGAATTTAAGGATTAGGCGAAGAAGCCCTGTTTATTCAAAGCTTCACTGCATATGAAAAATTGAGTTTGACTAACATTAAACACTGATTCCTGTTGTTCACGGCTACAAACAAAATTGAATTTTTTTTCTCCCCATTATGCTGTTTTAAAAAACACACACAGTATAACAGGGTGCTTGCTCCCAATGCAGATGTCTTGAGAAATCTTGAGTATCTTATCAAAACCTGAAAGGGTCCGTTAATGGCATCCAAAATTTATTCTGGCAATAAAAAAAATCTGTTGCAATTTTAATCACTACAAAGCGGGAATATGATAGGGATTTTCAGAATGGGTTCAGTTGGCCATTTGCTAACTGTTTCTTTCTTTTCAAGTCTAAAATTAACATTTCTTGTGAATGGCTGAAAAAAATATCTTTTCCTGCAAAGAATTTCCTTTCTAGGTACCACACTTCATTTTTATTTTAGCTCTTCTCTTTCTCCTCCTTTCACCTCTTCTCTTCCCTCCTTGCTCCTCCTCCCACTTTCTCTTCTCCTTTGCTCCTCCTCCTGCTCCTCCCCCGCCTCTTTCTCCTGCTCCTCCTCCCTCCTTCTCTTCCTCCTCCTCTTCCCCTCCCTCCTCCTCTACCTCCTTTCTCCCCCCCCCTTTCTTTCTCTCCTTCTCCTTCTATCTCCTCCTTCCACCTCTTCCTCTTCCCTTTCTCCTCCTGTTCCTCCCCCTTTCTTTCTCCTGCTCCTTTCTCCTCCTGCTCCTCCTCCCTTCCTCCTTCTCTTCCTCCTCCTCCCCTTTCTTCTTCTCCTCTTCCTCCCTCCTCCTCGACCTCCTTTCTCCCTCCCCCTTTCTTCCTCCTCCTTCTATCTCCTCCTTCCACCTCTTCCTCTTCCCTTTCTCCTCCTGCTCCTCCCCGCCTTTCTTTCTCCTGCTCCTTTCTCCTCCTCCCACCTTTCTCTTGCTCCCCCTCCTTTCTCCTCATGCTGCTCCTTCTCCCTCCCTTTCTCCTCCTCTTCTTCTCCCTCCCCTTCTGCTCTTCTTCCCTCCCTCCTCGTTCTCCTTTCTCCTCCTCCTCCCCCCTTCCTCTTTCTCCTCCTCATTTCCCCCCCCCAAGTTGGGCAAGTAAACCATACAAAACCCACATTATGCCACCTGGATACCACTGCTTAACGGAACGTATGGAGGGAGGTGGAACACATAAAGAATGGGGGGCGGGGAATGGAGACGGGGGATTGGAACATGCAAATGCAAGACTTATGTCATGCCTGACCATGGATTGTCCTGACACGTAAATCAGAGATGAAATCCCCCCCCTCTCCCCGTCCCCAGGTCCCTCCTGTTCTTTCTCTGACTGTTTCACGATGATGGACCTTCTCTAGGTCTTAGTCTTCTCTAAGTAGGACATACCCAGCTCCTTCAGCCTCTCCTTATATGACTTGCCTGCTGGACCTTCTGTCACCCTCCTCACAGACTCCTCCTTTCCTCTTTGCTGACCACGTTCTCGCACTCTGGCACCTAGTACAGAACACCAGACTCCAATTGAGGACCAGCCAATGCTGAGAAAGAGGATACTATTCAGTTACTCTAGCGAGGACACGCCTATTCTCTCCGCAGAGGCTAATCACGCCGCCGCGGTGGTGGACGGTTGCGCCACGGCCTAGGAAGAAAGCCGTGGTTGCCTCTCCAAAGCGGAGGATGTTGAAATGTTTGCGAAAAAACACCATTTTTTTTTTTAAATAAACAGGGGGATAAGCCTGCCCTTGTGGAATTCTGCTTCAGTTCTTATCAAAACGGGGGAGCCCATCGGCTGGTTGCGGTTAGCAGATATTGTAATTTTGAGTTCTTCGGTTAGCGGGAAAGCGTTCACCCGTGGAGGGAGAGAAGGGCGAGTCCCACGGGGAAAATGCCCACCCAGAATAATAAGGGCCAGCTTTGTGGGGGCTCCATCCCTGGAGGTTTTTAAGAAAAGTTTTTTTTTAAAGAAAAGTGGGAACAATTAATCGATGGAATGGTTTGCCTCCAGAAGTTGTAGGTGCTCCATCTCTGGAAAGATTGGACAGCCATTTGTCTGAAATGGTTATCGGGTTTCCTGCTTGAGCAGAGGGTTGGACTAGAAGACTTCCAAGGCCTCTGTTGTGGCTCCGTTGCCTGAGTCTGGGCTATCGACAGATGCAGACTCTGAGAGTGAGGAGGAGGAGTTGGCAAGGCCTCCCTCTCCAGGACCCTCCTCTCTGGCAATGCCTCCGGAGGACACCGAAGGCCAAAAGATAGGCTCAGAGCCAAGCACGTCCCCACAGCCACAGGTGGACAGCGACAAAGAAGATAAGTGCTGGCTGGACCCTCGGCAGAGGCGCAGGGAGAAGTGTGCGCAGCAGAGGGGAAGGCGTGCCAGAGATTAGCTGAGTCACTGGACCACACCCCACAAGGTATAAATGTGGGTGTGGTGGCCGGTTCAGTTTGTGATGAGCAAAAACTGGAAATAATCCATGATCTCTGCGTTACTGGACTTTGCCTGCTTTATCGGACTGCCTTTGGATTAATCCTTGTATTGTTGAAACTCTGCCTGTTTTATCGGAATGCTGGCAGTCTAATCTTTGTTTTGTGTGAGTAAAGTCTGAATTGGCAGCTAGCCACTGGGTTGCTGCCAGCTTTATCTTCAAAGAATTTTGTCATGTGGCTTTGTTAACTCCGGGCCGTCCGTGGGGGTGCGTGTGTGGTACGGGGACAGAACAGCCTCTTCCAGCTCTTGTTATTCTGTTTTAAATTGGGAATTGAAACGGCAGTGCCATTAGCCTTCCCAAACATGCTGTAGTGTAGGCAGATGTGCTGACTTGTGACAACCCAAGATATTAGGAGTCACTAGGCTGAGAAACTTGCTCTTCACTCTTATGCAATGGGACACAGGAAGTCACTGTTGTAACTCCCTTCATAACTTGCCTTCTGCCATTGCCAATAAAACTACTGAAATGTTTTCCTTACCAAGCCAAGTCACAGTTTAATATTTGCTAGAGGTTCACCTTCTGAAAGGTTGGGTTTGAATGCTTATGCGTTCAACCTCCGTTCAATTGTTTTATCAAAAGAGTTTCGGCTTCGGGGGGGCCATCAAATTCTGTTCTGCTTTTCAGGATTTCGGTTTTGTCTCCCTTCACTTTTAAACACACAGTCGTAATTTAAGGGTTAGTAATTCCTTGCGTGCATCCGATGGGCAGCTAAAATGCAGCAAGCAAAGGGGAGGGGGGTCATTGTAACAGCGTACGGAAGACAAAACAAACCTTGGTTGCAACAAGACAGGCAGGCATGACGGTTCACACATGAAGGCAATGTTGGCTGATGGGACATAGAATGGGCACCTACCTTATCCAGATGTGGCATTTCTCAATGGGAGAAAAACGGACTGCTCTAATAAGTCAATGAATGCCACCGAGCACTGGGTTAAGCCCAAGTCTAGTGGGAGGAAAATAACCTAATCCGTTATTTATTGTCCGGATAAACCGGAGAGCAGTCCGAGACGTTCCATCGATATGATCAACGAGGCAACCAACCTCTTGGTTGTAAGAGAATTTAATACAGGTAGGCCTCAAATTTACAACAGTTCATTTTAGTGACTGAAGTGAAAACGGCCCTGGAAAAAAGTGACCGATGACCGTTTTTCACGCTTACGACCGTGGGTCACATGATCAAAATTTGGACCCTTGGCAACTGACTCATATTTATCATCTTCTTTTAACGACCCCATAATTCCTTGCGGGGTGGAGTCTGGGCAACTGAATGGAGCTAAGTGTTTACTGGCTGGATGCCCTTCCTGTTGCCAATGTGGAGGTTTTTTTCCCCAGCAGATATATTCTCAGTGTGCCCGGAGAGAGAAATATCTGCCTCTACCTAGGATCGAACTCACAGCCTCCTGATTGTGAGGCGAGAGTGCCACCTCTAGGCCACCGCACCACTCAACTGACTCATCTTTATGACGGTGGCGATCATGTGTTCCCCTTTTTCTGACAGTCAAATCCGATAGGGAAGCCAGATTCATTTAACCAACCATGTTACTAATGCGGTGACTCCCTTAACGGCCGTGGCGAGAAAGGTCAGGAAACGGGGCAAAAGTCACTTAAGGACTGCCTCGCTTAGCCACAGAAGGGAAGGGTGGTCCTAAGGCGAGGATTACTTGTATTTCGTCTTTGCCAAATTACGCTGCAACGGTAGCTCACAAAAAGAGGAGAAGTCCAAAGCAAGCTGGCCTCTCATTTGATTGGCGTTGACATTTGATTGATATTTTAAAGCAGAAAGCTGGGCAAAAGCTGGTTGGGGAGAACGATCGGTTTCTTAAGCAACCAGCGTCCCCGTAACGAAGGACGGCATCTCGTTAAAAGTCGTGCCGCCGGCGCTACTTACCTGAAACCCTCTTGTAAGACTTGTTACTGTTTTTGGTGCTGTTTTGGTGCTTCTTGTCTACGGGTGTCACGAGGCCTCCTTTGCCGTTCAGAATCTTTTCGGGTGACGGCGGCACCGATTTGGATGTCAAAGCGGACTTGATTGGAGCAGGGACGGTGGATGACGAAGAGGCGGAGGAGGCGGCGACGGCAGGAGCGGCCGTCGAGTTCATTTTAACATTGGCACCATCTGCCTTCACTAGGTTAGGGATTTTCTCTAGGCTGACTATGGGAACAGGAACACTGAAAGACCAAAGGGAAGGGGAGGGGGAAAAAAATCTTCAAGATGTATTTTCTGCACCACTCACACTAACGTCACCTTGCTTTTCTTCTACGTGACACTAACGCAGGAATTAAAATTTCACGCTGACAAATAAGCGAAAGGTCCTTTGCCCTGCCAGCTTCCCACTGATAAAGTCACTGGGGAAGACGGCAGGAAGTCTGAGCTTGGTTGTTTTCTTGCAGGCGTTTCATCAGCCAAACTAGGTTGCATCATCAGTGCTAGCGCTGGTTCTGTAACATTTTACGTAATTACTGGCTGCTTACTATAAATCTGACGGTTAGTATAAAAAACTATCAGCATTTTTAAAAGACATAAAGATCGGCTTTGGTATAAATTAATATGGCAGATATTATTCCACGATTTTACCAACTGTTAGCTTTTTGATTTCCTGTTATCAATATTTCAACTATGTGCAGGCTTAATTTTTAGACTTAATTCTAATAATAATTATTATATAGATACGCAATCGGAGAAAAAAATACTATTGCGTCCCCCAAATCTTTCTTTGCTTGTTTCTTTTCTTACACTTTTGAAATATTGTCTCAAGACACATCGATATCGCACACAGAGTAATCAAACCAGTTAAATCGCTTCCAATTATGTGTTTTACCAGTAAAGCAGTGCCCAGGTCACTTCACACAAATCTGTTCCTATCCAATAATATCAGTATTATTGCGTGCTAAAAACATGTTAGACAGTGGTGGGTTTCAAATTTTTTTACTACCGGTTCTGTGGGTGTGGCTTGGTGTTCATGGCAGGGGAAGGATACTATAAAATCTCCATTCCCACCCCACTCCAGGGGAAGGATACTGTAAAATCTCCATTCCCACCCCACTCCAGGGAAAGGATACTGTAAAATCCCCATTCCCTCCCCAATCCAGGGGAAGGTTACTGCAAAATCCCCATTTCCTCCTGATCAGCTAGGGCTTGGGAGGCAGAGAATAGATGGGGGCGGAGCCAGTCAGAATTTTTACTACCGGTTCTCTGAATTACTCTAAATTTCCACTACCGGTTCTCCAGAACTGGTCAGAACCTGGTGAAACCCACCTCTAATGTTAGAAAACCAGGCATGCATGTATATCTATATATTACTGAACTTCTCCTGTTCTGTAATTGTTCAATTCATCTAAAGAGTGCATGACAGAGCAAAAATTTTTTTGAATCAAGATATCTCAAATCCATTAATTTAAGAAAATGTGTACAAAATCTGGGATCCTTCCTCCCGTGTAATTGAAATTTCAAGGGTCTTCACACCAGTTGTATTCGGAAAGTGTAGCCACTGTAGTGGCGCCACTATCACCCGCATCACTTGATTGTGATTTCTTACATTCCCTGCCAGCTTCCCACTGATGAAGTCATTGGGGAAGATGGCAGGAAGTCGGAAGTCACTTTGGCTCCACTGCTTTTCTACTCACCCATGGACCTGTTATTTCTCTGTTTGTGTAAGGAAATATCTTTGAAATAATGACCGCTTAGTATTATACATGAAGCTGAATTATGAAACATCTGCCTTCTCTTAAAGAAATCAAAACTGAACCAAAACTTCCTTTTAATGTCTCGGGGTCATATTAAATTTCTCACAATCAGGACTGTGTTATTTACGTAACTGCAGTGAAAACGACTTAACAGTGGCAAAAAGGCCATAAAATCAGGCGTGAATTGCTTAACAACCATCTCACTTAGCAATGGAAACTCTGCTCCCAATCGTAGTCATAAATTGAGGACTCCCTGTATAAAGGTTTGGTCAGCTGACAGGACAATTCATACAGTAGCTATATTTCTTTCTTTGCTCGTTCTCAATTGACTTTTTGGCAATCAAGGGTCCTCACATTTCGTATTTTTGCTGTGGGGAAAAGCTACAAAACGGGCAGGGCTAACATCACTCACATGAATAGAACGGAAAAGGGGGATGGGGGGAAGAAAGAATGTTATAATATAAATGTACAATTATGATGATAGAAGTGATAGACTAGGCAAAACTGAAAGGAAATTGGAAAGAAAGTATATATTAATATAAAATTGGGAATGCTCGGATACCAAGTAGGGGAAATATTAAACAACAAAGGAGAAAGAAAGGAGAGAGGAGTAGAGGGTAAGATAGGAGAGGAAAAGAGAGGGAGAGAGAGGATGTTGTGGCCTGCCAGCGGCCTGCACGGATTGTGCCTGATCCCGACGACGAGGAGGCTGGTGTGGTGTCGTGCTAGCAGCCTGTGCAGCCGGCACTCAAGTTGGACAGCAAGGAGGCTGAAGAGGATGTGGTGCCAGAGGCAGAGACTCAGCCAGGGCCTTCAGAACCTCCAGAGGCTCCTTCAAGTGAAGAGAGTGAAGTGGAGGAGCCTCTTCTCAATGCTCGAGCACGCAGGGCTGCCAAAAGGCAGGAGTGGCTACTCAGGAGGAGGTCTCCTCGAGAGTAAGGCTTGGGGCTAATTGGCCACTCCCTTAGCCTATTTAAGTTCGCACACAACTGGCAAATGTTGCTGGAAACAATGTTTGGTCCTAAGCAGAGCATTTTGAGAGTGAGGTTTTTTTGTTACAACTTGGTTTCTGGGCTGATTGCCAACCCTTGTCGGACTTTGTTTAATCTCTGTAATTCATAGCAGGCTGATAAGGACATTTGTGGTTAAAGCCTGCATTTTGAAAGCGGTCTGTTTGTATTAAACGGAGTGTTTGGAGCTCTGTGTGTGTGCTACACTTCTTGGGACCCGTAGCTGGGGCAGAACAGAGGAATGGAAAAAAGGGGAAAGGAGAGGAAGAAAAGAGAGGGGAAAAGAGTAGGAGAGAAAGTTAGAAAGGGGGAAAAGAGGGGAGGAGTGGGGGAAAGGAAGGGAAAGTAGGGAAGAGGAAGGAGAGGAGGAAGGAAGAAATTAGGAGAGGGGAGGAGATAGGGAAGGGAAAGAAAGAAGGAGAAGGAGGTTTCTTGTAAAATGAGGGGAAAGGGTAGAAGAGCAAGCCCGAATGCAATTAAAATGTTTTATTGTTATGCTTTCTTTAGAAAAAAATATGCATATGTATGATTAATTATAGATAAGAGAATGTAAATTTACAATATATGTATAAGAAATAAAAATAAAAATCTTTTTAAAAAAAGGAACAGGACTGCCTTTTTCAGGTGCAATTTGGGAGAAAGTTAGTTTTTTAATTGTGATGGAACCACTGATGAAATTACATTACAATTTTAAAGGCTCCCCAAAAGCTCAAAATGGCCCCCCAAAAAATGGACCGACCATTTTCATGTACAGGTAGTCCTCGACTTACAACACAGTTCATTTAGTGACCGTTCGAAGTTACAACGGCACTGAAAAAAAGTGACTTATGATCATTGTTTCAAACTTACGACCATAGCAGCATCCCATGGCTGCGTGGTCAAAATCCAGACATGTGATTAGCCGATTCTTGTTTATGACAGTCGCAATGTCTCGGGTTATCCCCTTTTGAAACCTTCCAACAAGCCAAGTCAAGGAGGAAGCCAGATTCCGTTAACAACTATGTTACTACCTTAACAACTGCAGTGATCCACTTAACGAACGTGGCAAGAAATGGGTCAAAATTCATTTAACAACTGTCCTGGTTAGCAACAGAAATTTTGGTCTCAGCTGTGATTGTAAGTCAAGGACTGCCTGCACTAAGAGAAAACTAGGAAGTTTTGATAGCTATTCCTGCAATCTAAAAGAAGCATTTCATAGAACTGAAAAAAAGTGCAACAAATAATAGCAGTAGCACTTATATATCGCTTTACAGTGCTTTAAAACCGTCTCTAAGCAGTTTACAGAGTCAGCCTCTTGCCCCCAACAATCTGGATCCTCGTTTTACCCACCTCGGAAGGACGGAAGGCTGAGTCAACTTTAAGCCTGGTGAGATTTGAACTGCTAAATTGTAGGCAGCCGGCAGGACGCAGAAGTAGCCTGCAGTACTGTACTCTAACCACTGCGCCACCAAGGCTCATAATCAAAATGACCACAGTTTAGCCGTGCTCTATTGACAAGACATATTTATCCACCTAACTCAGATTTTATGACAGCTATTCCTTGGTGATATAAAACATTTGTTTCCAATCATCTCCTCCCAATTATGAGGTTTACGTTGATTTTTTCAAATAACCTTTAATCCAGGGGTGAAATGCTCCCGGTTCGGACCGGATCACCTGATCTGGTAGCGATGGTGGCGGATGGTTCGGAGAACAAAATCCCTGCCCCCCCCCAGCTGAGCCGCGCAATCATGAGAGGGTTTTTTTTTTAAATTATTTTTGAAAGCATTTTTTCTACAACCTCTTCGGCCGAAAAAATGCTTTTAAAAGTAAAAAAAAGCCTATGATGATCGCGTGGCTCAGCTGGGATCGTCAGAGGCTTTTATAAGCATTTTTTTCTACAACCTCTTCTACTGAAGAGGTTGTAGAAAAAAAATGGGTTTTAAAAGTAAGAAAAAAAAAAAAGTTGGCCACGGCCACCCAGTCACATTAACCCCCCCACCAAGCCACGCCCACAGAACCGGGAGTAACAAATTTTACATTTCACTACTGCTTTAATCCTAACAGACAGGAGATATCTTAGGTGGCAAGTCTTCTGGATGATTTCCGACCTAGTATTTTTCAACCTTTAAGATGTAATGGACTTCAACTCCCAGAATTCCCCAGCCGAGAGTTGACGTCCAGACATCTTAAACTTGCCAAGACCGCTCCAGAATATTTCTTGCTAAATTTAGAACCGCTCGTTTCAAATCCAAACCGGAGCATGGTGAGCTCAAAATGTTTTGAGCTGAAATCATTTTTGCACGCTAATGCGACTAATTGAAACCGTGCTCGTTTCTAAATAAAACCACATTTGTTTCTTTTGGGGGGGGCGTTTGGTTTCTGACTGCTATTTTGTAAGACGTTGCACAAACGTCTGAAGTGGAATTTAAAAAAAAAAAAACTTAAAATTTCCATAAGAATTCTAGAAATGCACATTAAGGCCTTCTTTGCTTTTAGTTTTGAATAAGTCTCACACAATATAATTATGTTGTATAAGACTTCAGTGAGTTTCCCCCCCACCCCCATTTTCTTGCCATATTTGTTAAGTGAATCACTGCAGTAGTTACGTTAGTTAAGTTATTAAGCAAATCTGGCTTCCGCATTGAGTTGTGACCATGGAGAGGCTGCAATGGACATGAGTGTGAAAAATGGTCATAAGTCACCTTTTTTGGTGCTGTTGTAACTTCAAACAGTCACTAAACGAACTGTTGTAAGTCGAGGACATGTATATGTCGTCATCATCACCTTTTAATAACCCCATAATCCCTTGCGGGGTGAAGTCTGGGCAACTGAATGGAGCCGAGTGTTTATTGGCCAGATGCCCTTCCTGTCACCAATGCGGAGTTTTGTTCAGCAGATATATTCTCATTGTGCCCAGAGAGAGAAACATCTGCCTCTACCTAGGATTGAACTCATAGACTCCTGATTGTGAGGCAAGAGAACTGCCTCTAGGCCACCGCACCACTCATTGGGCATCCCTCACATCCTGGACATAAACTCCACCCCTTGGGATGGCGCTCTAGGGCACTGCATGCCAAATCAACTAGGTAAGGTAAAGATAAAGGTTCCCCTTGCATATGTGCTACTCGTTCCTGACTCTAGGGGGCGGTGCTCATCTCCGTTTCAAAGCCGAAGAGCCAGCGCTGTCCGAAGACGTCTCCGTGGTCATGTGGCCGGCATGACTCAACGCCAAAGGCACACGGAACGCTGTTACCTTCCCACCAAAGGTGATCCCTATTTTTCTACTTGCATTTTTTACCTGCTTTCGAACTGCTAGGTTGGCAGAAGCTGGGACAAGTAACAGGAGCTCACCCCGTTACGCGGCACTCGGGATTCGAACCACTGAACTGCCGACCTTTCGATCGACAAGCTCAGCGTCTTAGCCAGTGAGCCACCGCGTCGTTCCAACTAGACAGAAATCTAATATTGGAAATCTAATACTGAGAAAAGAATATGAAATCAAGAGTCTGCAAGAATACCAACTTACCAAGGTTTATCTCTTGAGACTTTTGAAGAAAAGACCATATGCAGTTTGCTACTGGAGGTAATGAGATTGTCTTTGGGCGTTTTGAATGGCTTTGCGTTGTTGTTTACGGAGTTATGGCCACTGATGCAGGATTTCGGCTTCATCTGTATTAGGCATGCCCTGGAATTGCAGGGTCCTGGAGATGCTGGAGATGAGGAAGATTTACACATTGAACTGTGTCTTCGTTCTGCAATAGGTAATATATAGGTAGATATCAACAATACTAAATGAATAAAAATACAGGCAATTATGGAAGGCAAGCAAAAGGAATACAAGCACATGAAAAATGGAGAGAATATCTGAACTGGGTAGAACTGGGGGGGGGCTCTTTGGTGCTGTCTGAGCTCTGAGTGCCCCACATAAAAAAAACTGGAAGGTTAAATTGTAAGGCCCCACATTGTATATCCTTGTCAAGCTGTTACAGATATACAGTATAATGCCAATATAATTTGAGATGCTTTCCCTTCTTCTTGTGCCATAGCCGTCATCGGACATTGGCGATCACGCACGGAAAAAGTGCTGCTGAGTTTTTGTCCAAATCAGTCCCTTAGATTTTGACGCCATGATGATCTTCTTCTGCCTGGACCTCATTTGCCTTCAATGCTTTCCCTTAGAGGCAACTAATAGCAGAATAATAGCACTTAGACTTATATACTGCTTCACGGTGCTTTACAGCCCCACTCTAAGCGGTTAACAGTCAGCATATTTCCCCCAACAATCTGAGTCTTCCTTTTACCGACTTCAGAAGGACGGAAGGCTGAGTCAACCTTGAGTCGGTCAGAATCGAACTGCCGAACTGCTGGCAGCCGGCAGTCAGTAGCAGTAGACAAATCGAAGGAGTGAAGGTTCCCAGAACTGAGGAATGTCGGCGCAACGATGCATGAAAATAATAATAATAATAATAATAATAATAATAATAATAATAATAATAATAATAATAATAATGTATCTGATGATACTTTAACAGTTCCTAGGTCCTTGGTTAGGACTTGAGCTGCTGAGCTATTAACCAGCCTCAAAGACTGTGAATTTCACTAAAGATTAAATAATAATAATAATAATAATAATAATAATAATAATAATAACCGGGACTTGCAAATTGAAGTTGAGCAACTATGGAAAAAGAAATCATGTGTTGTCCCAATTGTAACTGGAGCCCTTGGAGCAATACCCAAAGGGCTACCCCGCTATTTAGAAATTCTAAATTTACCGGACTTGAACATTTTGACTCTACAAAAAACCACCTTACTCGGAACAGCTTACATCCTCCGACGATACCTTAACAGTTCCTAGGTCCTTGGTTAGGACTCGAGCTGCTGAGCTATTAACCAGCCTCAAAGGCTGTGAATCTCACTAAAGATTAACCGATAATAATAATTTTGAAACTACACGGCTATGGATGAAACATATTAACAGTGATACCCATTGTCATCGGGGCACTTGGTACCATGTCCAACAATTTTACAAAACACTTCAAGAAATTGCAGCTTCCTGCAATAACACCAGCGGAACTGCAAAAAAACTGCGCTACTTGGAACATCGTACATCTTAAGAAGGTACTTGGTTGATACCTAGGACGCTGGCAGCAACCCGTATCAACCATTAGCACCAGTCAATATTTGTGGCAGAATTTTAAATGTTCAATTGACTTGAGTTTTATGTTTAACGAATAAAAGAGATAATAATAATAACAGCAATAATAATAATGTTCAATTAACTGAGTTTCAGTTAACTGACTTTCATTTTTAATGAAGAGATAATAATAATAACAGCAGCAGCAACACTTTCAGATTGGCACTTCCCTAAATTACATATATGGCCATTTCTAGTTCTTAGTTCTAGAACAGAATTTGATCCCCCCCCCTGCCCCTTTCAAGTGATGCTCTCACAGAGTCCAATTTATTTATCATACAGGAGTGTCATCGCCTATACTAAAGAATTTCAATTTGCAGGATACCTGCTCTGGAAAAGCTTTTCTGTTGTTGACAGGCTACAAAATGTGCTGTGTTTCTGCAAAAAATAATAATAATAATAAATAAATGGACCCCTCCTGATTTCAGCAACCTTTGTACCGAAGGATGGCCTAATGCCGCACAACACAACTGCCAGATGAGTGAGGCCTTTTCAACTGAGCCTTCCCAGATTGCAGAAATACAATGCACTTAAAAAGCATTTAACGCTATGCACTTGGAACACGAGAGAATCTTGGCCCGATATTGTACTTACTAGAAAATGACATTTTTTTTCTCTCAAGACTGACCGATTCGCTTCTCCCCTCCAGTTTTTTATTAAGTGTCGGAAGCAATCAATTTTGGCTTTCGCCGAGGCCGTGAAATATTTTGAGCTATGCAAAGCATTCCTTTTTTTTTACCCGTCGCAAAATAATGTAGGTTGCTATCATGGGTGGGTGGGTAGTTGATACGAAGTCACATACCCAGTTTAAAACGCTCCACCGTTAAAAGCAAAGCATAGGCCCGGCGTATTGTTAATACGATTTTAAAAAAACCAAACATCGTAGACCAACCCGAGAATTGAAGTACCTGGGAAACGTACGGTTAAAAAGGCAAGTTTGCTAAGGAGCCAAGGGTTGTAAACATTTTGAATACTTTCACTTTCTCTGTGACAAGCCGTAGCACACTCTGTACCCTGCTAACTCGGATTTTAAGTGAAAACAGAACATCTACTAACCACATCAACGCGGGAGTTTAAAGGAAGAAACAATCCGACAAACAAAGTTTTGCAAGTCTGGACAATTGTTCCCAAGAATATCAAACCAAGGAAAACGTTTCAGAGTGTCCCTTTACAATAATGTAAACAACAGTTCTTGACAAGTAAAAATGGCAACGGGAGTTCAGTTTGTGCTACTTGGTGTAAAAACTGTCAAAGGGAACAAACTGCCAGACTCACAAACACGGATCTTCTCTAGCAGCAAAAAGCAGTTGGTGAAACTCCGCAAATTCCCCGCCACGCTGAAATGACTTTCCTGTTTTTGCAACAACGCCACAAGAGATCGTTAGCTTCCGAAATAACGACAATTAAAACGTTCTTTAATGACTGCTAAGGAAGGGGAGAAATCACGTATTATCTCGCTAGATAAGAGGAAACGAAAACGACTTACATGGAAGCTCGGCCTGCCAAGTTAACTCAAGTCCTAGGACGGCCGTAAACAACTCGAACGGCGAGAACACAAAATGACTCACCGGACCCCGTCCGAGAATGACAGCAGCAATACAATCACACTGCAAAAGGCACTGGAAGCGAAGCAGTTTCTGCTCCAATAACGGCAGATTTGCACTTGGGGCACCGACTGCTCGGGCTACACAAAAACAACACACCCGGTTACACACCCTGTCAGCTCCACCGTACGACGGACACAACGCTTCAGATAGATTTAAGGGACGGTTTTCGCTCACGGTAAATTGACTGGATCTATTCTGGAATAGAAGAGTAGCGGAACGAGAGGATTCTAACCGTAAGATGGCTGGGGGTGACAATCCTGCAACCATTAAATTATTGCTATTGCAGGCAGTCCTCGATTTACGGCCACAACGGAGCTCCAAATTTATGTCGCTAAGGGAAACATTTGTGAAGTGAGTTTGGCCCCACCTTTCTTGCCACGGTTGTTAAGTGACTCGCTGCGGATGTTAAATTACCGGTAGTAACAGGGTTGTTAAGTGAATCCGGCTTCCCCACTGATCGCAAAAGGGGATCGCGTGACACTCCCCCCCCCACCGGGGCCACTGCGACCGTCATAAATATGAGTCAGCTGCCAAGCGTCTGAATTTTGATAGGGATAATTCAGCGGGCGTTAAATGTGAAAAACGGTCGTAAGTCCCTTTTTTCCATGCCGTTGTAACTTTGAACGGTCAGTAAATGGAACTGTCGTAAGCCGAAGACCGCCTGGATTCTGGAAACGTCATTTTGGAGTGTCACTCATTTAGAAGATATACGGTAGCATGTCAAATAGCTTAATTTAATTCTGCTCCTGTAGATTCTAGGGAAATGATCACTTCGGATTTTTTAACTGCTTAAGACCACAATTGAACCCCAAGTTTATGTTGCTAAGCGAGACAGTTGTTACGTGAGTTTTGCCCCATTTTATGACCTTTCTGGCCGCGGTTGTTAAGTGAATCACTGCAACTGTTAAGTTAGTCACAGGGTTGTTAAGTGAATCTGGTTTCTCCATTGGCTTTGCTTGTCAGAAGGCCTCAAAAAGGAGATCACATGTCCCCACCCCAGGGACACTGCGACTGTCATAACTATGAGTCAGTTGCCCCAAGTGTCTGAATTTTGATTATATGACCACAGGGATGCTGCAACGGTCATAAGTGTGAAAAATGGCCATGTTGCTTTTTTCAGCGCCGTTGAACAAGTCACTAAATAAACCGTTGTAAATTGAGGACTACTTGTATTTTCCCAGATTTTGTACCTAACCAATAAATGCTGTAGTTTTTACAGTCTTTCAAAAAAAAAAAGAATCAGGGGCTGAATTAACCATAATTATAAACCTTATTTTCCCACAAATTATTTTCCTTCAAAAGGTCACTAAGCGAATGCCTGTAAGTCAAGGACCACCTGTATTCCTGAATACCTTCTACCTCATATGCTGCATGAAAATGCATAACTGTCTTAAAACATTAAGGCCGGCATGACTCATTTAACTATCGCCTTGCTTAGCGATGGAAATTCTGTCCCAATTATGGTCGTAAATCAAGGACTACCTGTATAGTTGCTAAACAAGGAATGTTGAGTACGGCCACAATTTTTCACAGCAGACATAAATTTTCGGGCTCAAAAAAAAAAACTCTTCTTCTGATGTAGAGCAGTCGATTCCATGACACCCACTAAAGGAAGAGAATTTCTGTATCCTCCCATTTAAAGATTAAATAAAATCCGCTATGGAGATTGGCATTTCCTGGTGGTCTCCCATCCTTACGATAATCAAGTCCCAACCTTTCTTAGCTGTATTTTTTAAGATCAGCCAATCTCTGGTAATTTATGATTTACGACATATAGTCCTTGACATACGTCCTCAATTGAGCCCAACATTTCTGTTGTTAAGCGAGACGTTTGTCAAGTGAATTTTGCCCCCTTTTTACGACCTTTCTTGATTAATCTGTAGGATAAGATTCCAAGTGGGATCGTAAGGATTACAGAAAGAAAAAAAGGAAGGAAGGAAAGAAGGAAGGAAGGAAAGAAAGAAGGAAAGAAAGAAAGGGAAAGGAGGGAGGGAGGGAGGGAGGGAGGGAAGGAAGGAAGGAAGGAAGGAAGGAAGGAAGGAAGGAAGGAAGGAAGGAAGGAAGGAAGGAAGGAAAGAAAGAAAGAAAGAAAGAAAGAAAGAAAGAAAGAAAGAAAGAAAGAAAGAAAGAAAGAGAAGGAAGGAAGGAAAGAAAGAAAGAAAGAAAGAAAGAAAGAAAGAAAGAAAGAAAGAAAGAAAGAAAGAAAGAAAGAAAGAAAGGGAAAGGAGGGAGGGAGGGAAGGAAGGAAGGAAAGAAAAAGAAAGAAAGAAAGGGAAAGGAAGGAGGGAGGGAGGGAAGGAAGGATACTTCATTTCAGAAAAAAACTTTAATAACAGAAAAAGCGAATTCAGGAAGGACAATTTTTTTTTTTATTGCAAAAGTTTTACAATTACATTTTCACCCCATTTTCCCCCCCCTTCCCACCCCCCGCTCCCCACCCCCCTAACCCCCTCAAACCCCCCTAACCCTCCCCCCCTGACTTCCATGAAGTATAATCCCATCAAAGTCCCCTTTTTACAAAACTTGAACCCCTCAAACCCCCTTAGAAGAAAAAAAAAAAATTCCCCCCCCCTCACAGTATTCATACATTTCTATTTTTATATAATACTTTCAATGAAAAGCTATTTGGTAAATACCAAAATACCAAACAGGAAGGACAATTTTTAATATAGAGGCTCCCCCTACTGGATATAACTTAGCAAGTAAGTAGGCTCACATTCTTGAAAATTATGAAAAGTGGCCAGGTTTAAAAAGCAAACTTTTCAACCACTGTATTGGAAATCTTATCATAAAATATAAATAAAAAAACATGGATCAGTCAGGAAGAATTAGTTTTCTGTGAAAACTAATTTCTGGATTAAGAAAACCGAGACATACATTTTTTTCCCCCAAGCCTGGGGAAAACATAAAAAACTACAGCAGACACTTTCAGGAAATATATTTTGTGGGGCATTTCCATCAGGGGGCCCCTTTTCACAGAGAGGTCCTCGGGTTCTGTTGGAGACACACCACTGTGACACACCTTGGGGGCAGGGAAGGGGGTTGGACTAGATGACCTCCAAGGTCCCTTCCACTGTGTAAATCTGGTACGAATCCCAAGGCAAGGATTCACCTCTGGGTGAATGGGAGGCCATGGCTTTCAAACTCAAGGCATTCCTTGGTCTTGAAGGACTGAGTGAAAACTGCACAAATTGGACCAGGGTTGGGAGAAAAACTGTATTTTATTTGATATAACTTAAATGTAAATTACATGCAACTTATTCAACAATGAATAGAGCCGAGGTGGCGCAGTGGTTAGAGTGCAGTACTGCAGCTACTTCAGCCGACTGCTAGTTCAGCAGATCAAATCTCACCGGCTCAAGGTTGACTCAGCCTTCCAGCCTTCCGAGGTGGGTAAAATGAGGACCCAGATTGTTAGGGGGCAATATGCCATTTAGTATACTGTCGATTGTTGTAAACCGCCCAGAGTCCTCGGAGAGTGGGCGGCATAGAAATATGATTAATTAAAAAACAAAAGAATATGTCAGGCACCTAACTGAGTTTATCGCAGGACTGCCAGACGAGAGCCAGCTGGTTTACTGGATTAAGGTACAAGGTTTAGAAAGGAGACTGTGAATTCTAGTCCCACCTTAGCCAGGAGAGCTGGTTAGGTGACCTTGGCTCAATCGCCAGGAGACGGAGAGTTCTAGTCCCGCCTTAGCCATGAAAGCTGGTTGGTGACTTTAGCCCAATCGCCAGGAGACGGAGAGTTCTAGTCCGCCTTAGCCATGAAAGCTGGTTGGATGACCTTAGCCCAATCGCCAGGAGACGGAGAGTTCTAGTCCCGCCTTAGCAATGAAAGCTGGTTGGATGACCTTAGCCCAATCGCCAGGAGACGGAGAGTTCTAGTCCCGCCTTAGCCATGAAAGCTGGTTGGGTGACTTTAGCCCAATCACCAGAAGACGGAGAGTTCTAGTCCCGCCTTAGCCAGGAGAGCTGGTTAGGTGACCTTGGCTCAATCACCAGAAGATGGAGAGTTCTAGTCCCGCCTTAGCAATGAAAGCTGGTTGGGTGACTTTAACCCAATCGCCAGGAGACGGAGAGTTCTAGTCCCGCTTTAGCAATGAAAGCCAGCTGGGTGACTTTGGGCCTGTCACTCACTCTCTCAGCCCAACCCACGTCATAGGGGGAGTTGGCAACTAGCACATATTTATGACGGACGGTTGCAATGCCCCGGGGTCATGCGGTCACCATTTGTGACCCTCCCAGCTGCCTTCCAACAAGCAAAATCAAAGAGAGAAGCTTAATAACTGCAGTGATTCGCTTAAGAACTGTGACAAAAAGGTCATAAAATGGGGCAAAACTCACTCAACAACCATCTTGCTCAGCAATGGAACTTTGGGGCTCCATTGTGGTCATTAATTCGAGGACTACCTGAACAGTGTTTTGCAGGCATAGTTCATAGCTATAAACGGTTTATTTGTAAAGATACCGATGTAATAAAATAAACCACGTCCATGTAATCCTTTTTAATCATCAATTATAACGAATGTCTTCAAAGTGAACATTACAGGCAGTTCTCGACTTCTAAGTTCACTTAGTGACCGTTTAAAGTTACAACAGCATTGAAAACAGTGACCATTTTTCACACTTCCCCATTGGGGTCAGGCGATTTACATTTGGATCCGTGGTGAAGTCCTATTTTTTTTACTGCCGGTTCTGTGGGTGTGGCATGGCGGGCATGGAGTGGCTTGGTGGGCGTGGCTTGGTGGGTGTGGCAGGGGAAGGATACTGCAAAATCTCCATTACCACCTCACTCCAGGGGAAGGATATTGCAAAATCTCCATTCCCTCCCCACTCTGGGGCCAGCCAGAGGTGGTATTTGCCTGTTCTCCAAACTGCTCAAAATTTCCGCTACCGGTTCTCCAGAACCTGTCAGAACCTGCGGATTTCACCCCGATTTGGATGCTGGATAACTGATTCACACTTATGACAATTACAGTGTCGGGGTGGTGGTGGTATCACATGATCCCCTTTTGCGACCGTCTCACAAGCAAAGCCAATGGGGGGAAGCCAGATTCACTTAACAACTGTGGCAAGGCAAGTCGTAAAAAGGGGGCAAAACTCACGTAACAAATTTTTCGCTTAGCGGGATAAATCTGGGGAGGCTCCACTGTGGTCGTTAAGGTGAGGACTGCCTGTATATCTCTTATGGATGCTTTAGCCAGCATTTTCTATATTAATCCGTTGCCGTTGG